ACATGATCCAGAGCGACCGATTTAGTGCGGCGCGTCAAATTTAATTGTCAGACAGCGCAAGATTGTGTTTCTTGTCTTTAGTATAGTACCGAGTCACCGACTACAGTTATAATGTGTTTTAGTTTCCTCTTGCTCTCTTTATATCTGTACAAACCGAAATAATTTACTCTTTTCACTGTAATTTTGAACGATTTTGGTAAACACATGCTCTTTAAACGTCGAAACGCACATTTGCAAACTTTCGCGTTCAGTACAAATTATACCTAATCAGCAATGCTGTACATCATATAAAAGTATGGCGTGGAACTTCTTAGCTGGACCGGCTGGCGTGTACTGTGTAGTCTGTACTACCTAGTTAAAACGTAGCTTTCAAATATAGATATTCGCTTGATATGCGGTTGGAAATAGCAGGATAAATGCAGTTTGCGCAAAAGATACTGCGGCCCTGAATATCGTGGGACACGCTAATTAAAAGATAATTGCATTGAAAAGTGCAGATGGCATCAGACCGCTGCAAGACGAAACAACCAATGATGGACTGGCGTGCCGTGCAGTGCAGATTCGGAAGATGCCGGTTATGTTATACATTCCTGCCCAGGCCGCGAGTATCCTTCGTGTTTTCGCTTGTACCTCGGGTTTTGGACTATTGTGGATTTACTACGCACCTTTTATGATGATTAAATTGTACCTATCATGAAATGTATCCGTGTTTTGCATGTGCATGCACTATTTGTACTACCAAAGCTATTCCTTATCAAAATACTGATATAGTCATATCTACGAATATTAATTTTATATTCTGCAGATATAAGGGGTAGCAAACTAAACGTGTTCCACGGTTTCCGGCCTGCTGCCGTCACCCGGCTGGAGTTTTACGTTGTGGCTGAACAGCGCTTATGTACCGCGCCAGATTTAACCATATGTGTGCCGTAACGTCACACTCCAGGCGGGTGACGGCAGCAGTACTGAGGTCGTGGAACACATAGTTTAACTATATATGATATATGTACATGAGATCATAGAAACGCTCTTTCGACTTTATATCCTAATTTGGAAGCAATAATCCCTGGTTGTAACCGTTAAAATTATGAATCGATATTGTATTCACATTACACATTAAAATTGTAGCACACTAATGTTAAGGGAATTTGGCTTGTACCGTAAATTTTTCCAGTAAAATGATAATATTATGAGCCGGTAATAGTAAGTACATATATCTCATATGCTAAATCATTAAATTTAAACGAAAAATACAAGCTCTATCTGTACACAAATAATTCCCTTCATTTAGCACGCGCGCGAATCAGATAGCGAACGGTCAAAAACGGGGGCAAGTTATTGTGAGCCTGACCTCCTCCCACCGACAGACTGGTGACATCTTTCTGGCCACTGTATTGGCTGTCATCGCCGACTGAGGGCCAGTTGTGTATTACGTCCTCATAATATTGCGCTTCTTGAGACCACGCCGGAATGGTGTGACTGTGCACCGGCATTTCGTCCGCTGTCAAGACATGACTCTTCTCACCGCCGGCCACTCCAGTCAGCTGTACTAATGGATCACTCGAATTGATACCGATGGGAAATTTCCCTTGCAAATCCGGTGTGATGGTTCGCTGCAATACAGCCGCCAGAAGCGGGTATTCCCCGTTACTGAACTCCGCGCCGTTACACTCCAACCAGCAGTCAGGGACGTTGTAATCGCGATGATACGCTACTATTGTGCCCACAGGTACTAACGTCGAAACGGTGTAGGCTATCTGAGATAAATGTTCAGACGTCTGGTTCAAGCTGCGCTTCATCCGGTGGAGGTCGTCACCCAGCTGGTCTCGGTTAACGTTGTCAATATCTTTGTTTATAGCCGACGAAAGGTCAGCATGCATGGTTTGGACTGCTCCACACCGTGATCGAACCGAGGTTCTCGTTCCCGCGGATGGCGCTCATGTTGATACAGTGCAGTGTCATCGGTTTAATGACAAACTTATCGCCGTTCCAGTGCACGCTGCCGCCAGCTTCCTTCAGCTGATTGCGCACGGCACTCCAGTCCATCATTGGTTGTTCGCCTTGCAGCGGTCTGATGCCATCTATCGCAGTGAAATTACTGCCGATCTGGAAAAAGGCTTTCATCCACTTATTTCCGTTGCCCATTAGCTCGTTTAGGCTCTTGATCTTCTCGTCTGGACGGATCGCGCCGATAGGCCAGTACATTCTTCCACTGTTCCTCCGTGAAATCTGTGGTCGTAATTACACTCGGTTTAACGATTCGTTGGAAGCGGTTGACAGCGGTGAACAGCTGACTTTCGCCGACGAATTCATCATCCGGAATCGCTCCTTCAAGGAGATGGTCCAAGGTTTCTCTCAACAGCCGGCGCAAATCCGTTTGCTGCATACACATGGTCGGCGTTTCGGGAACGAAGCTGAAAATTTCCGACGCCTCAAACGCTGTGGTATTAAGAGCCACTTCCCGCTTCATGCGACCGGGCTTCGTTAGCGCAAACGACACTTCGAGACCAAAGAGCAGCTGATCCTGAGGATTCTCCACTGCAGTTTTAATATCACTACACTCTTTTTCCGCCGAGCAGATGATACGTCCGAGGACAGTGGTCGGCTGATGCGGAATGGGGATCCATTGGTTCATGACCTTTACCGGCAGTGTACTGTCGATTAACTCCATGCGCATACTGTGGAATGGAATGGTGCGGAGATTCAGGGAGTTGGACAGCAGATCCATTTGTTTTAATTCTGTCTGGATATAATCTCGGTAACTTGCCTCCCAAAGTTGTAGCGCAAAGACTAAGTAGTTCTGATGGTTATTATAGACGACATAGGTAGAGTTGGGGACAAATGTACATGCTGGGGCGTAATAGTACGTCACGTTGGGCGAGCCGTTACTTTCTTTGTAAATTCTTGCTTGGAAATTTCTGTACGGAATGCTTAGGTAAGCGGAGGAAAGGGCCACATTAGCGGAAGACGAATCGGATTCCAGTGATAATACTATCTCGAAAGAATAAAACAAATCAATTCCTGCATATATCCGGTAATCAGTGCACACTTTTTTTTGTAGCGGTACAGGTTGATGCAACGAATACGTAGGATGACTTACTTATCGGCAGTTTGACAGATAATATTTTAATAGTCAACTCGGATGCTCTAAAATTGTGGTCTAATGATTATAATAATTTCAAGAATGTACATAATTCTGAGTGATTCAAATTCCAAATTATAAGCATACGGTATGTGAAAAGTATCGTGTATTTCTTTAATATAATTTTTTCCAAGATTTTATGAAGAACAATTCAGTAAGCAGGTTCAGAAATGAAGTGAATTTCATTAATTTCTATCATCGCTTGCAGATTTTGCTGATCAGATATAAATAAATAGTAGTAACAATTCAACTGTAAACGGCCAGCTGTGACTAGTAATAATGTTTACATTAATTATCGTATTTAATCGCTTGTCACGTTTAAAGTCATTAGAACGTAGCAAAATACTTTCAGTGCACAGGACGGTATTTCTATATTCCAGGCAGACAATTAATTTAAAGGAAGACGACAGAATTATAATTACAAACGTCGTGAAACGACACGGTAACTCCACAATCACTTTTTATCGACTTTTAGTATAAGGCCTTCTCAGACAGCTTAAATTAGGTCGATGTCAGTGTTTTATGTAGGGGCTCGGTTCTTTTACCAAACGTACCATTTTGTGGCAATATCATCCAACACATTAAACCTCCCAGTACAAATCCCAGCATTTTAAAAGATAGGATTATTGAAAAGCAAAACTGCGAAGTTGACACTCATGAGCTTCTTCCCGGGTCTGGACGGTCCGAACAGACTGACAATATTTAAGTATCACCGTATGATCCTTACCAGATCGCCATAAACCATAAAGGATGACCTGTTCGAAAAATGATGTTGCGATATTATTTTATTGTAAGGCAACGAGACACAAAACCGACAGCTGCTATTCACGCGAAGCCAGCTGGCACACGTTAGTTAGCGTTATCTTTTGTTGACTACCGGTCATTACTTGCCAGTAGTACACTAGTAAGTATGTACGAGTATGTGTACATATGCAGTATTTCTCTGTAATTCAATATTATTACTGTAAGAAACAGCCAAATCACGTTCCAAATCGCAACGCGTTGATTAGATTGAGATCGCTGGGAATTTCACATCAAGATTCCAACTTAAGTACATACATCAGATCACGTACGCACTTCAGTTACCTACGTAAGTATTAAGTTACTGGCTCTTCCGCGCGCATCTTCGTCTAACTGTATCTGTGTCATTCGTGCCTTCACGATCCGTTTCGGTGTGGCTCTTGGGCCCTTGGCATAATATTATTTTTATTAAAACATTATGTAGATATTACCAAAATTAGCTCAGGCATCTAATTCAAAGTGACAGCTAATCTTAACCGTTTGTCTACAACCTCGTGCAGGAGCTAGTCCTGATTGTTGTAGACGTTAAGCTGATTAAACAATAAACAAACAAACATATAGACCACTATAAAAGCAAACGCTGTGTCGAATGTGAATCACGTCCGGTATTGACAGAGCACGATACCGATAACGCAAACCTGTTGGATGCAAACGCTTAACCGACGGTTATTACCACAAAGAACTGTTCATTAATTCAAAGCCGTGCTCCGATTAGGATAATGCCACCATCATAAAAATTACAGAACAGGGCAATTTTCAAGAAATTTTCATAAGGCAATTTTTTCATAAGAAATTTTCATAAGGCAATTTAGGCTTGAGAGAATTCATCGTACCCTACTCATTATATCTGTAGTACGTAGATATAAAACGATGCGCACGGGCGCGGATGCAGGGTCATAGGTTACCTGCGCTCTGCAGCGGCACTGTGCAAATCGCTGTGAATAACGTTTGTTTAAGGAAGTCGTATCACCGCGCTTAAAGGGCAAAGTGTTCTTCTCACAAGTTTATTGTCCTACTTATGATTCCACAATCGCCGGTTCGTGAAAATATCGTGACAAAATGTTGCTGGTTCTCCAATCAACAGCAAACACGATGAGCAAAAGGCAAAAACTACACAAAATTGTCAGATCGGATACAGTGCACTTTGGAGGAAAACACAGCTGCACGTGATACACGACAAAACATCCAGTGTACGGACTATACCGGCATTTTACGGATGCCATCCGGTTGCGCAAAATACAGCCGCGGTACAAACCGGAAATGGTCACTTCGGACGCGCAAACGGGAAATGAGGCTTACGGATTATCAACTTCCATAACTGTCCTATTAATCTAAAAATAAGTTTGTTCGGTGATCATATTATAAAAAGCGACCTCGGCGGAGAACTGCAAATTTTCAGTTCATTTTGATTTTTTTGGCGGTTCCGATCGAGTCACTAGCTTTCTTCAATACAAAATGTCTCCTTTTTCAGTATGTTTGTTTGCGATAATGGTTGGGCATGCGTTGTGCACATCCTTTCCCAAATGTACCTTCCTCTTTGAAGGCGGCACGTGTGACTGTTCCGGTCGACCGCAGAACATGATGGACTGGAATCTCCTGCTAAAGAACACTTTTCCCAACACTACCATGATTAATTTTGACAGCACCGGACTGACGCATCTGCCGGATTCCAAGGGCATCGCACTGGCATTTCCAAAATTAGGTACAGAATTCTCATGAATATGTTGAACTATATTGAATATATGTTTTCATAAATATTATCAAGAACATTTTTACATAATTACGTAAGTTGAAATATCTGTTTTAGAATTATCTATTCAAGTACAGATAACACGATATTTAGTACACAGAAATATGTAGTATATTGTTTAATGCTTAACTAAGCGAATGTTGGTGCACATGTTTCGTATTGCGTCGTGAAATTAAGGTAAAACACCTCGCGAAATACATCGTAGTAGCACATCGTGAAATTAATTACTTAATTTAATACAGACTAATATTGTAATTTTATTAGCGGCGGATGATTTGCTTGTTATCCTTTCATCTAAAAAGCATTAGAATTTAGCATGAATCGAAGCATTAGCATTCAAACATTAGCATGAATGTTGTTGTTGTATAGAAACGATCATTGTGGATTACAAAATGGATTGCTTATACTTGCGCTTATGGATCAAGGAATTCCAGTGTAATCCCAAGCGGACCATCAGCATCGTATCGCAGTACTGCTCCGACCTGACCACCAATCCCATCTGCCCGGCGCCGGCAGCAGCCGTCCCAGACCCCAGTCCGAAAGATATCCTACCCACTACCACTGATAACGGCAAGTGCAAGAAGCCACCGTGTAAAGAAGGTAATCATTCTGTCACGAAAGGGCATATTTATACTATTACTGATTTCATGGACCTTCGTGAACAGAAGTAAGTCAATTGTGCATACAAATTACTGTGCATACCAAATTATTGTGCAAACATAATTTGGTAATTAGAAGCGCACGAGTCAGCCGAAATACTGTAGTTATGCTCGTAGTATCAATTCAAATTCAGTGCACCGTACGCACATTTTACACGAAGTTGCAATGGGAATGCCGTTTCGTACTTAATGTTAAAATCTGTTATAAATCTACATAGTAAGTCATTATTGCATTATAAATGAAAGTTTTTCTTTTCGTGCTGATTGATACTTTTTCAAATGTGTTGCATGAAGCTTAAAGTAGACCCCAGTAAACCAGGAAGCACATATCTCGCAAAAAAACTTTTATACTGATGCTTTTTTCTTCGTATCTTCAAAAATACTAATGCATTTGTCTCGTACGTTACAGTATTACAAGTATTTCCAGTCTCTTATACACAAAACTAAGGATCTATGTTGGAACTTGGAATTATAGGATTATATAAATTCGTGTTCTTGACTACAGAGTACTGTAACCTGTAGTTTTCGTTTCTAGAGTGAAATGCGTAAGCAAAGCCGCCCAGATCTCCAGTTTTGTAGTATTATTTTCCGACTTCTTAATATTTTGCTGTCATGACGCAAAACTGACTCTTATAATCATGAGAAAAGTATGGTCGTTGATTCATGGGCCTTGACTTTCGGCCAACTACCCGCTTGTACAGAGTACGTACCAAAACATATGACATCACCATTTCAACATCTAATCAATTCTGTGCTGTGTTTTGCAGATAAGCCACACACCATTGACCTTTCCAAGTCGCTTCTCACGGTGCCCGTGCGTAACTTCCAGACCCGCATCTTCAAGGATACCGCTGACGATAAGAGCGATCAGTACTATCACACCACTGCTTGCACCCTCTACCCAAACTCCTCCCAGATCTTGCTCAACAACGACACCCACGAGCACTTTGTCCTCATCGTCCTGCGCTTATGGGACACCGATTACCTACAAACCGTGCAACGGCTGCTGTCCGAAAAACTCCAGCAGAACATCACCAACATCCAGCTTATTCCGTTTCACAGTCTACGGGTGTTCTTTGTGGACAATCCCTACTCGTTCCAAGTGATGGACCAATGGGTGACGATCATCGATAAACCAGCGGAAATTTTAATTCAGCTGATATGTAATAGTGTCAGTCATTGTCAGTATATAAAGTCCTTCGTCTACGCACATCCGGTATATTTCGCATCGACCCTGGGTGTGACCTTTTCCTTAAGTAAACCCTCCCGGACGAAAACGACGGTGAGCGTCCTACGGGAACACCTCTGGACGTCGCGTCTGTACGAAACCGTAGTGCAGCGTCACGGCCACGCCTCCAAAGTGTGCATGCAGGAACAGGACATCCGGCAGATCCTCCACGAAGCCCTCCAGAACGCTCTGGACGCCACGCTCCCCGACGACGAATTCGTCAGTGAAGACCAGATGTTCGCGTTGGTCGGAGACCTCTTCCGCAGCCTCCGCCCCAAAGTAACCAACACCCGGAATTTCAACGAGGAAGCCTGGAAGGGCGTCTTCTGGAAGGACGAGCACAACCGGCCGGATGAGAAATTCCAGTCTATGCTCAGCGCGCTGGGACCGCAGAGTAAACTGGGACAGGCGCTGAAGAACATGTTCCGCCACGGAACCGATTTCACCGGACTGGATACACTGAAAATCACCACGGATACACAGTCACAGATGGACCTGAACTCGGTGGTCTTCCAGATGAAGGAGACGCCCAGTGGGCTGCTGAACTGGAATGGCCATGCGTTCGTGACGAAGCCGGTGACGCTGTACTGTCTGAATCTGACGGTGTGGCAGAATCAGACGGTGGTGGGGAACGTGACGGTGGTCAGTCGGCCTAAGTACGGGGATCTGTCGGGCACGGTGAATGTGCTGCCCATGGTGTATAAGCCGGAGGAGGGTAAGCATGATGCGTATAAGGTGAAGAAAGAGAAAGACCACGATGCCGGTCAGTCGGGTAGTAATCCGGTGCCGTCGTTGGCACCCTGGAGTCGGTATTCATGAGTGTCCATAGACTGTTTTAATTTTGCGTAGTTAATGTATGTTCCTGTGCATTTTGGCTGACCGAAAGTTGTTAGTCATAAGGTTTTCAGTGTGAATAATTTCAACCTTGATCTTTGCGCTTGCACTTTTTGGGTCTGTAAATCTTTTTTTACTGTTGTATTTTGCATTAAAAATGTGATGTGTTTAGTTGAAAAATGTTCCATTATTATGCATTATATCTTGCAGTGTAAACTAGCTTGGTTAAATGATGCAATACAATAAAAAACGTCACAATTTACAAAAAATGAAAGAAAGTTGATTTATAAGGAAAGCGACCGCGAGAAAATATGAAAGCAAAGATATAAGAAACAGAATAAATTAGTACAAAACACCATCAAGATACTCGTATCCCAGAGTGTCATAGCTAAGTTTAACTTATGTGTTGTCGCCTGAAACTTCATTTAAGTTTCCTCACGATGGTCATAAAAGAGCGGCAAAAGACTGACAATTATACAAGAAGAGAAGCGGAAAAGCGGAATAGCTGGCATGCTTTAAATTAAAGTACTACTCGTAGGCTTTTATACTATATAGTATATATAGTCATGTGTATTACTAAACGGAAAAACATCAGAAATCAAACTCCAGGTTCTTAAAAGTTATGATAATTATGTTGTTCTAAAAAAATTACGCCAAATACATTACGATGGGATGTAAAGTATACGAATGAGTAAACTGCTATTACTGTAAATCTGGCCTTTCTGTAAGAAATACTATAATACTGTGCGAATACCGGGATCTTTCTTTACGAGTAGTTGTGGGAAATCAAGTATTCTCGTTCCACAACTACCGTAAACTTACAACCCGCTACTGCGTAGAGTAACGCGCAATGACTATTATATTGTTTATTTACGAACTGCATCGATTTATGCGCTAATACTTCTGCAGTACCATCCACACAGTCATACATACCTTACATCCACTAACAAACAAGTCTCGATACGGACCGTCAGGTTGCGATTGTACAAACTGGACAGATGAGCGATATGTATTGACACTAAACGACTGCCAGCCACACTGACACACAGCCACTGCGTTACCCATTTCCCACAGCTGACAAGTTGCGCGACGGATGACCGTCGATGAGGTTAATTGATACAGCCTTTAGTCACATATCTGACAGCTACCTGGGTACCTGGGCGGACAGCTGTATGCTTGTCTTGGTCCACACCGGTTAGCATCGCGGAATATTTAGCTCCCTAATTAACCCTCTCTCCAACACCAATTAATACTGGGACCGTGTGAAGACAGAGAGAGCTGCGAGACTGTCATGTCATGTCAATGCACGGATGAACATAATTTAAACAAGCTGGCCAAGTGATTCCGCGTTGACCACCCGCCCACCCATCGCTATCTGTCGCATCGATATAGGGAAAATTAATAAAGATTCCTAGAGTGATTTATTGCGCCGGTTGTACGGTTTAGTTGGCCCAGATCGCGTCGATCATGAACGTGAATTAAAGTGGTACTTGGAAATCATGCAGTGTAATGCGGCCGTGATAGTGTTATTGTACACGCTGTTGGTCACTAACCAGGTGACCTTTGGGTATACTGCTGGAGAACATGCCGGGAAGTATGCCAGACGGGGCCATCTAATGCTGGATGATCTGGAACGGAAGAAAATCTACGAGCGGTGCGAATTCATTCTCGTATCTCGACTTTAATGTACTGTACAAGTACAGCGGCGGCGATATGTATGTATTCGTGTTGCTGTTTTTATAGGAGTCCATCGCACAGCACTTATGAATTCCTAACGCAGTATTACAGTTTCATTTGTCATCAGAAAAGTCCAGGATATTACGGTGATCCCCATTATGATTGCCGGATATTCCACGTTTGTCAACCCGATGGAAGGAGAGATACGTTCTTTTGTCCGGCATGGACACGCTTTAACAACAACGTACAGATCTGCGATTGGCAGCATAACGTAAGATTTGCTGGAATTTTTATCCTTGAATTATTTTTTGTAGAAACTCAAAGGATTTAATTAATTTTAAAATTCTGTAAACTGGTACAATTTCCCACGTAAATTGCTGATGTGAATCATAATTATGATGTGGCTGAAGATGCAATTTACGCCCAATTATTTTTGCAATGGAAAAAGCAATTTTTTGAAGGTTGATGATTACTGCACTTCACGGTACGCCCAATCGCACAGCGACAACAACCGACTTCCGGCCAACAGTTATCTCCTACAACAACCCACCGTCCACACCAGAGTGGAAGCTCTCCCGGAATCACCGCCGCCGACAGAAGAACACGACCGCTACCGCAACAAATACGAACAGCAAGAATACTACAAATCCGTGTACGACCAGCAGGAACCCAAACTGAAATTCCTCATGGACGAACGCCCGGCGGTCTACTACCCCAAACGCACCCTACTCTACCTTCCGCAACCGCACTTTAGCCACCCGGACCCGGTCGCCGACCTTCCAGTGCCGCTGCAGGAAGACAACGCGGCGAAAGAAGCCCCACCCCCGCCGCCGCCCGAACCCGTGGAGGTCCTGTCGGTGGTGCAGATGGTGGTCCCGGAGGAGACGTCGACGCTGACCCCGGAGGATCCGGCGCGGCCGCGATTCCCGAGCGAGCACAGTACGAGAGTGGTGGTGCACGTGATCCCTCGCATGTTATTCCGGTCCCACCCACAACCGACTACGCGGTTTTGCAGAGTCCTCCCGGGTCCGGAGGAGAGGTTGGTGGCGGCGGAGGAGGAGCCGGAAACGGAGTCGGCAGCGGCGGACACGCTGGCCCCGAAGGCCAAAGTCCTGCTCATGTCGCATCCCCAGAGGGAAGTGCTCATCCGGCAGAAGTGGATCATGCCGGTCTGAATGCGGCCTTTGATCTGGGCCCGGTTATTGAGTTGTGGATACCCACGCCATTTAAGAAAATTATTTAAACTAAACGTGCGGTGCAGTAGCGGGATAAAGATTGAACGAACGTTTTTGTGAATGGCGGTTGTAAGTCTGATTGTAAATAAATTTTGTGTATATAATTCTTGCAGTTAGTGTGGCGGATGTTTGTAATAATTTTATGTACACTACAGACGCGCTTGTTTATTAATGTATTTTTTTTATAAAAGCTCTACTTCGGCAGACTGAAATCGTTGACCGATTGCACACTTTACAGAATAGAAATTTCAAAAATACGGTAATAAATATGGAAATCTTGCAGTACTGTCTTTTACAGAACATGAATCATAATAAAATAATTTATTAATCTACTGACACACCGCATCACCAACATTCCGCGATCCTTCTTTTTTAATTTTTAATAGAGTCGTTAACTAAGAATACAGGGCGAATTTATTAAGAACAAAAAGCGTTTCGGTACATCGAAGCGCGTATTCGGATAATCGGATTATACTAGTGCGGTAGTGCCATGTATGATACATGTATATACAAGATGATAATATATTATACAAGTAGTTACACACGACTGACACGAGTATCCATAAAAATACAAATAATTTATGCACACGTACGACTAAGGCGACACACCAAACCTTCTCACTTTTTTATACCCTAAATACGCCGGGTATGCAATTTCGAAATACGGCAGCGCCTGCCGGGTGGTCGGTGCCTGTTTCAGCCGGGTTTGCTGGCGGAAGTAGAACGGGACCCTGTCGATCCGGTTCCGCATCCGTGCCTCCGCGAACATGTGGTACGATTGGCGGGAAAATCTATTGATATCCGCTCCTTCGTGGAAGCGGATGTCCAGTTGGATGGTGTCATTCAGTGGTTTGACAAAATGTGCCTCCCCGCGGCGGTATACCATCGATTTCTTGACGGCGTTGCACTGATCGTCAACCTGCAATATTGGCCAGCTGATGTTTACACATTAACCACGTAATCAGTGCAAAAAAAGTGGCTCCAGGGGGGATCGAACCCACGACATCCGCGTTATTAGCACGGCGCTCTAACCGACTGAGCTATGGAGCCTGGTGATGGCAGTGCAGAAATTAAGTCCTACTAGCAGAATTTGGGCTGATATGCCCGCACATGCTATATACATGTAATTAAGTATATCACAGCCGATAACAGATAATGTACAGCATTTTACCCTATTATACTGCAGGAGCTTTTATCGGTACTTATTGCTGTTATCATGATATTTTTATAATTCCTAGTTTTGATTCACAGTTTATTCATTAGCAGCCAATAAGCTTACACAGTCATCATTACTTATATAAATACGAGTCATATACTGTAGGTGTGCTCATGTAACATACTTACATTATACGGCCAGTCGCAGACGCCAACCCGATCATTAAATTTGAGACCTTGTGGGCATGGCAAAGTGTCATATCGTACGATATCTCCGTCCGACTGGCAAACATGGTATATAACGCACTCATAATGCGGATTTCCGTAGCTTCCGGCTTTCATTCTGGCACAGAAATCCGCTACGGTGGTGATAGTCTGGATTGACGGTCGGTAATAGCCGCGGTGCCGTTTCTTCACTAACTGCCTATATAATCACCCAAAAAATGTATAATATTTTTTTCTATTTAAGGGAATTCTTTACCTTAATAATGTAGTTCTAATAGTTTTACAATTCTAGATATTATTCGTAGTATTATTAAATTATTTTGTAATTTATGTCGCTAGTTTATGTTTTTTTACTACACATTTAGATTTTTTAAATAACTGATTTAATTAAAATATTCTTAATTTATGCTGTTAATATAGTTCAATCATCCAGATTTGCTATGAAAACGCTACCAAAATTGTCTCAGATATCGCAGGATCAAAATGTATGATTTTTATACACTACCAGTAATTCAGCTCGGTGGCCGCGCTGTCGTATGCCGTAGTATCCCTAGAATAAAAACGAAATTCGTCATGATATTCATAAGACCACAATGAAAATAAATTCTGCAAACTGCATACCACAGCGATACGTTTTGAGATATGGCCGGATCGGTTACAGAAGAATCGTTCTGAGGCACGACGACTTCCGCTGCCGCAGTAATATTATTCCCTATGAGTACCGTCTTTCCAATATCCCAGTACCAAGAATGCACCGTCGATAAATTAGCGCCGGATATAATCAAGAGAAAAACACACGCAATTAAGTTGCACATGATTCCTGAAAGTCATGATGTGTACAGCTAGCCAGTTCGGTGTATTATGAAATGTCCCAAGTGGCGACAGTGCAGTGTGGTGTGCCGTGCTATGTTATGTTATATTGGCTGCATTGGTGAGTGCCGAGTCGCCGACAGCTGACCGGAACTGTTCCCAGAGTGAGACGCTTATACCGGCATTTAGTGCAGCTTGGTGTGCGCTTGCCCTTGGCCTGCATTCAGTAGCGGCGTCAGCGTAGCGGTGCGTTACAATGCGGGACAGTTTACTTTGGGGGATGTCACAGCTACCGACGGTGCTGCCGACTAGTGTGCAGTAACGCCGATTGAGTTTCAATTGGAAAACGTGGAAATAGTGCGTGGTTTATATTTCAACTTTATATTGCTATTTTTTCGTAGCCCGTATATACATATAATTGAGTAGTCTTGCTTGTTCTTGTTAACGGTTACTGAACGTAAGAATACTCTTGACATAAAAAGCATCAACCAAAATCTCCGGTGCAATGCGTATTTATTGCACTTAACAAAAGTTTATAAAATTATTCTCGCAGTGCTGCAACATGAAGATTATCAGATGAAACTGATAAAACGGAAAAAGAGCAAAAAAACTGATCTTCGTATATAAAGCTTTAACAATAAAATGAAGTTAACAACCAGATGTGAAGGCCGATAGCTCCGCCTTCATGATTGGCCATTCGCTGTTGTGTTTCGCTGTTTCTGGGGATTTCCACCCTGCACATTTCTGTGGTGTTTTGACGGATCTACAGCACAGCTGCGCTGGCTGTAGGATCCGATCTCATTAGTCTAGTGTTGCTGCGCCACGGTGCGCGAGTTAGATTTCGGCATTAAAGCCTCAATCCGGGTTCGCCGCTGTTTCGCCGTCGAAGGTACGTGGGCGCCCATAAGGCCCCACGTAACACAGATCTATTAGAAGCGAGATCAGCAGCTCTCTGTGCTAGTTTTTGTGAACAGGCAATGAAAACTGATTTATGGTACTGCAAGTACTGATTCTGGATAAAGCGGTTGTCAACTACAGATGACTTGGCAGTAATGATCTTAACCGTTAAAGAGGGCAGTCAAAACTTCAGCAGATTTCGTACGCGACTGCCGGATCTGAACTGCAGTATACGCACAAACCACGGTGTATACACCCGTGAGCTGTTGGCACTTTCCTCCTCCAGCGGGCATACACGCCGCTTGGGCGCCTCACAAATCTCGTGCGGATACCCGGTGTCGATTTCCTGTGGAACCACACTGAAGAACTCCAGGACTTTGGGCTCAATTCCATCCCCGGTTAAACTCGCCGGAAGAACCGCGGCAATTAACGCCGCATTGCGGCGTTGATATTTTGGATGCGAGTGCTTCATCCGCCGCTGCAGCATCTCCGTCAAATCCCACACCGGGTACAGGAACAAGCAGCACGTGGATTTCGCGCACGAAATATGCTGGCGCCGTAATTTCTTTGCCAACCGCCAACATTCGTTCTGCATGGTCCGGTCTATTATGTTGCGGGAGTACGCATGGGATTTGAAGATCAGCTGGCACGGCATCCGCGCGTTGAGGAAGCCGGATTCGTAGTACAGGGTCATCAGGAAGCGGTACATGTCCATGGGCAGGCAGAATCGGAACGTCTCCACGCATCGGATGTTCGATAACTCGATTATGTCGGTGTTACTGATGCAGGTTACTTCGATGTCGGCTAGTACTATAGTATCGGAGCTCAGCGAGTACCTGCTATGCGATTCTACCAGCAATTCGTGTCGCAAGGCCCGCAAGCACTCAAAATGACCTCTGCACAGCAGGAAATCATCGTCGGCACTGGTCTCGATTTTTGCCAGCATTGTCAGAAGTTTTTGGACTTTGTAATACGGTTGCTCATCGAGAAGAGGCACTGTATCTACGCTCTGTGATCGGCGGAATTCGTCGACTACTGGGAAACATGGAACGAAAGAAGGAACATCGAAGTCATCGCATGTCTCGGGTTGAAACGGCTTGATGAACGTTATCCGACGTTGACCCTTGCCTTGTTCTACGGGATGTTTATGGCAGTAGGTCCACTCGCATAACCAGCAAGGTCGATATTCGCAGTATCGCTCCCGAAAAACTAGAAACCGTTTAATTGGCCAGTTAACGCTAAGTAAGTAACGCATATTTTGGCTGTTAAGCATCTAATGGCGAAACCAGCTTTTCAAATAAAAGGGAGACTAAAAGCGTTTGCCTAAAAAGCTGTAGAAAAATTAGGCTTGACTCGCAAGCTAAGTACAAGGAAAAAACAGCTTTATGCAAGCAGTCAAATGTATTCGCCTATCTTTGTTTTGATAAAAACAATGATCTGATCACTGCAAATTACAAATAACTGCGCGTGTAAATTCCAAAAAGCAGTTAGAACGCGTTAAAAGCGTTAATCGTTAAGCAGTCTTACAAGCAATAAAATAAGTACAGGCCATTTGTTGCTGTGGATTAATCAGCCAACAGTTTAATGGATCTAACTAAGATGACGTATACGTTATTACCGTTACACGAGGAGCACTTTCTGAAATGATCCCACTTATCCATACGCATCCAACAGAATTCCATGATATAGAGTAATAGAGGCAGTGAAACCAGCGCCACAATGTTGAGTCCCACCATAAAGCTAAACTGCGACGTTCCGAGCTGCGGCGCCACGGTGGTGTCATTTGACACTCTGGCCATACGTATGGCACTAGTTTCGTAGTTCCACTCCATTTTCACAACCACCACGTAAACGATGAAATTGCACGTCTGCAGGACGAATGCTAACAAGATGCCCAGCTTGGTCAGCGTGGTGGCAATCGGGATGACCAGGAAGTTGCCCACCATGTAGAACCATTTCGACACAAAAGCCATACAGTTGGCGATGATGTACGGTTCATTGCCTTCATCAAAGACCCGTTTATGTGTCTTAATCAACACGATCGCGATGACGAGCATCTCGAAGGCGGTGACGCCTAGTTGCGCCGGCCAGTTGTACAGCCATAGCGTCACGACCAAATTGTACCGGCAAACAATGTAAATAAAGTTCCTCACTGCGCCGCTATAAATATAAATATTCGGCTTGAGAAGTCCCACTAATTCGTTCCATTCAATGTAGTCCTTCTCGGAAAAAATGCAATTGTTAAAGGCACATATTCCCGGGAGATGGTTGGCCGACGGGAAATATTTCGAAATGGAGAGGAAGGAGAGAAACAGAACGCCCCATTTCCATAAAGGCGGCGGTTTCCCGGTTGATACCCAGATTGACACACCCAGCAGCAGCTGAATAATCAGTTGCGGTGCTGACTCAAACTTGATCTCATCGAGCTGCGCTTTCTGCAGAAATAGCAGCTGAAACTTGGGATCCTTTTTGTAGCCGTAGTTGTTTAAGAATTCTTGTGGGTCGTTGACTTGATGACGCCACGTAATCCAGAATGACAAACACCTGCAAAATGTCGTTGACCTTTTCATTCTTCTTTTCTATTGCAAAACTTACAAGCTACAAATTGCTGTGACCTTTATGAATGTATATATTAGAAACTAAAACATATTCGTGACATTTTGGCACTTCGTTTTCCCTGCAACGTAAAACTCACCGGCATAGGACACTAAAAGGATACACCTCCCGAATCCAATGCGCAAAAGTCGGATTGAGCCATTTTAATCCCGGCAAATCAATACTGGCGTTGATGACGTCACTCTGGGATAAAACCAGCGTTGTGTCATCGCTGCGAATCAATTGATCGGTCGTGTGTGACCAGTTCATCCGCACATTGGGAGCCTGTTTCAGACCACCCTGGAAGAATGATCGCACCAGCGACGCCATCACCGGCAGACCCAGCACGCTGGAGATGATGACCCGCCATTTGAAGCGGATCTCATACGGATTCACCGTCCACATGTTATATATGTCCCAGCAATCCGACAGCATATCCAACAGCATCAGAATGACGCCAAAGATCCCAAAGGAAAAGATCACTGTGACGATCTTGGTGCCCATGGGATTCTGGAGGCCGAATAGCCAGTGCGGAATTTTGCGGAGAACAGCGCATAGTAGCCGGTTGGATATGTGTTTTGGCATTGCATCGGCGGTGTCCCATTCGTGATGGTGACCTTTTACTATCGCCGCAAGTTGGTCTCGCCCATCAACATCATCCTACGAAATGTGTCGCTTGCGTTTTTTTTAGTTAGAAGCGCTTGCTGTCGGACTATCGATGCTCGGGTTTTCCACGTGTCAGCAGATTGCCCCGGGCAATCTGCCTGACATCTCGCTCATTTGTTTATATCGTGCGTTTCTTTCGAAGAGTGATAGTATTGTTGCCACTTTGCGCATCGTGTTTATCCAGCTGTACCGGGCGTTTGGTGAAGTGCCATGGAGGCTGTTGATCGCTTCATCTGGACCTTGACTTTGAGGGAGTGGGGAACACGGTACTACATGAAACGGCCTTCTTGGACGATTATGTGCTACGTTTAAGCATCCCTGGCGCTTATTGCTTGCCAGGTTTCTTGACGTCAGATCTGACTTATCAGAACCGAACTGTGTCTCGCGATGTTGTACGACGCAGTCCTCAGAATAAATGCACCTGCCAAATCGCAAAGGCCCTACATAGATACTAGTTTGCCGCATTTCCGGGATCGGAAGCGAAAGCAGTAAATATTGGACAAATGGCACCGGTTGTAGATACAAGCGCTGCGAGTAGGATGTTTAGGAACATTATCTTACACCACTTAATAGGGATACGCTTTAAATTTGTGAGAAAATCAATTATTTTAATACGAGTATACCGAGTATCAATATTCAACGTGCCGCCACATTCTACCACTCTGTTCTATTGTTATTTATGGAAAAACTTAAAATCGGATCAGAAGCCTTTCGTATTTGCGCAATTATGTATCTGATATATGTATAGCAAAGCAGTGCGTAAATTTCGTTAAACGTTTCTTGCTGTTGTAGTAACTGGGTCTGGAACCGATTATGCACTTTATATAGCTAATAAAGTTATCGCTGCTAAACATAACGAGATTTTCGAAAAAATCGGCGATTACTGTACAAATTTCCTCAGCCGGCGCACGTCATTCCTTTGGTGATTTCACATATCGACCAAGTGGGCATTCATTTGTACTCATTTTTCTGGCTACTGTACGCAAGTGATACCAGAGTTCGCTCTACTTTATGAGTCATAAGACTGTGCGTGCGATTTTAGTAAGATTGTTTTCAGTGGCAACCGTTAACCCTCAAGCCGGTTTTCAAGGCAATGCAGTAGACAGTAGTGCGCGACGGTAAAACCGAGTGTACGTCTGTACGGTATCTATAAATGTTGCTGCAATCAGTCGCTGCCTTTTAATACCGAGTGATGTATTGATTTTTCCGCAGACAGCCTGTGCAAGCGTGGTATGGGTTCAAACGCTGCACTTCCGGTCGCAAACTAACGTAAGCAGCAGCGTTTTGGAGAGCTCATAAACACGAAGATAACTGTATACCACTTATACTGATCTACAGTTTTACATGCTGATTTAATTATTTAAGCGTCCTAACCAATCTCATCAACAACACCTTCTGATCCGCTTATCGTTATAAAATGCCGACAAAAGCCCAGTAAAATACATTCGCGTGAAACCCCTACTGCATCCTGCGCAACTTTATTTTAATCCTCCGCTTGATCGTGCAAAATACTTCTAGTGTGCTTGGGCGGATTTCGAACTAGCGCTACGAAAAAGAGAATCCGGATTTGCAGAATATTAATTATGCCGCAACAAGAAATTCGCATTGAAATGGGACCAGGCGGCAGCCAAACGTACACCGTTACCAGCGGCACCGGGAATGCGGATTTCCAAAACTTTGCCAACCAGTTCTTCACCTCCGCCAACCAGTTCTTCGCCTCATCCGGTTCCGGAACTAACCAGACGTTCAACTTTCCCCAGTTCAGCACCTCCAGCAACGTTCCTCCTTTTCCTGGTGCATCCAGCAGCCGCGCTGACGAACCTCCATCCTATAAAGATGTCGTGGATGACGAGAAGGACCAGGTGCGGGATCCGCTGCTAAACAATAAACGGGCACCCAGTCCCGGACCCACGCCCACCCGCACTCAGCCAACCGGTCCCGTGGATGTGACCCATCTCCTGGTCGACCCGGAATCGTCTTTGGAGGATGAGGAGTGCACCGCGGATGATTTCGCCATGACGTGTGTACGGATCGGGGTGATTGTAGCGATATTGGGCGGGATAGCACTTGTTCAGTGGGAGGAGTCCTACCAGGCTAGTGTGCGGGCCATGCACAATCCGGATTGGCGGGCCAAAAAGCAGTTTCATCTGCGGTCGGGGTTCGGGTGGACGCTAATCGCCCTGGCGTTGGCGTTTTACTTTGCCGACGCCTGGGTCAATGATGTCGCTGAAATGTTCAAGAAGTTGTCGGACGTCAATTTGGAACAGCATTTGGAAAATGTTAAGCGAGGTGAGCCGCAAAACTGCTCGTGTCGATTTAATAGCTAAAATATAAACGTTTAAGTTTAACGGGAACTAATAAAAACTTTTTACAATTTTTTTAATGTTTTATTATTATTGTAATTATGCTGTAATAGATATTGTAGATAGATACTTTAATTTACTTTTTTATTAATCGTGTGCTGCTCCATAGCGCATCAAATTTGTTTCTGCACCGCACCAGGGTTCCACCCATTTTTTGAAATTTTAAAACATTTCCTAAAATATTCGAAATTCATTTTGAGATTTTAAAAAAATGGTGGATACAGCTGGCGTGGTGAAAACGATCTTTATGCTAAAGATCGTTTCTGTGCAAAATTAAACTGGAAGAAGATCGCTTTATAATAAAACTTCGGGTACACGTCCATGCGTCTAAGCTTTAGGAATTTTGTTTCCTCGATAACTCTTTAAACGGATGTTGCGCTCACAAACGGTTTCACGCCAGTGTACCGATATAATATAAATAATATATATAATACAAATCGTTTGGCAGTACTAGTAAAATGTCATAAAAAATGCAAAAGAGTGTCCGGAATCGCGCGAAAGCGGAAGACGAGCTGCCATTCTACAATGTATATTCGTACGAGTAAACAAATTTGGTACCATGTGAGCACAGGCACATGCACTTCCCTCAAGTTTGTCATATTTGTTATTTTAGGCAAACCAAAGTTAACGTGGTACATGAAATGTTTCCACCGTGACACCAGCACCACGGTGGTAACGAACGCCGATGGAACCATGCGCACCGAAGACCGCAACGACCAAATCACCACGTGGACGGGACTAGAATCCTTCCGGTTCTCTCAGTGGGCGGACGTCACTCCTGATCAAACAAAAAACTTTGGTTCCATTAACAAAATCACCTTTCACAGCAAGTACGTTCTAGCCAATGCGGCAACGCGACAAGCGTACGAAGCACAGAAGAAAGCGTTTATCGACGCCAACAAGCCTCGTGGTGCGGAGTACAGTATCGAGGAAATTTTTGAAATCGAGGGATTTGAGAAGGAAATGCTGGTGGAATCGGGAGGTTCCTGTAGAGCAAGTGCAGTTGTCTACTTTTTCTTTGTTCTCACCGGTCTGATGTATCTTTGGCGGTATGTCGTTAACAGCGGTGTACGTCGCGTAGCCTATACTCACGTCAAACAATTATCGATTTAAATTGTTGTGTATTTTAGATATTGTCCGAGATGTTTTAATGCATGTCTGGTCTTTTTAGAGCTTTTTTAAATGGTGTATTTTCTTGCCAGTTTGGAAGCATGGTGGCAGTCGCAATGCTTCGTTTAGTTATGTGGATTTTGGAGATACATAGATATATTTCTTAAATCTCTAAAGCCATTATTGGCATTGTATGTGCGCTTTGTGTTGAATTTGATATGAAAGATTTCTTAAATCAGTACCCAGTCCTCGTAAACGGAATTATGCCTTTGTAAACGGAATTGTCTTTTGCAATTAACAAAAGTCTGTCCGGTTAACGGGAGTCAAAAATCTGGTCGTTTAACACGAGCTGATACATGCATGTTATGATTCTTAGTTAAAACATTTAAAGAACCCAACACCATCGACGTTATCGTATTTTAAGCATATATACGTAATTACGTATACATTATAGTGATTACACCGTCAGGTTGTACAGATATTTTGATGATAACGCCATGTTAAAATGAAGTACAGAAATAAATCTTTGTTCTCTTGTAAAGATCTTTGTTTTATCTGTACTGCATTTGTACACTGCAGGATCAAAACTAGAATGGAGTTCACAAGGCAGTGCACAAGACTTAGTAAGCTGCGATTCAGTATGTATTACTATGTATGTACATGGTTCCTAGAATTTGAAATTTTACAAGTAATAAGGAAATGAAAATACTGCAGGCAGTACATTTTGTGGGTACTTGACAGGTCTATAGTGGTGCTACATTTGTACCTAATACAATGGATTCAGTATGCAGTGGGTACTTGCTGTACAATACAGAGGGGCTTGTACTTGAAATACCAATCTACGTAAAATGGTTAACCCCGTGACCAGTTATTGAACGCCGATATTCACAATTCCGCTAAAAAAATACAAGTAGTTCAAATACAGTAATCGCAAGAGTTCTACGCCTGATCACATGATGCACAGGTTTGTTCCCATTCTGGCAGTGCGACGGAGAAAAAGCAGCAACTGATCAATGAAACACTGTGAGGAAAAGGACTCTTAAATGAAATTTCGGGATTCCGTGCATACAGAGTACAGCAGTACACAAGGGATGACCTTTATTTACAGGTCAACATATACACTGCATCCGCTATACACTGCATCCTACAGTGTATAGCGCAGGTGACCGGTAAATAATAGCCATGTGTGTATCCTTTTCGATCTGCTCGGGGAGGCCGGATGGTCGATACCTACTTTTCTTTTCTCATGGGTCTATTAATTTTCATATGGCAGTAACATACGTGTAACAAACCGCGCGTGAAGCTACGTGAGCAGCTTAGCTATCGTCCTTCACGCTGGGCTGTATTGATTTTCCGGTTTAACCCAAGCCCGGTACACCACCACCACCGCACACTACTCTACTCTTGCGCTATCAGTCTCACCATAAACAGCGTTATGGAAAACGGAAAAATTAACTAACTGGATTACTTTATTCCGACCCAATACTATGTCGATTTAATTGTATCGTGACCAATTTTATCAAAGGATTGCGATTTGAATGTCCAAGGCGATTAGTTCCACATTCCACTGCATCAAATTTTACCCAGTCTCGTAATTAAGTGAGCCTAATCTTGTAAAAGTATTGCTTCCTGCTCAACTTAAGTTGCCGTGCCTTCATGCCAAACATCCGCTTCAGCCTTTCTGGTCGCGATCAAACGAATAGTAAGCGTGCGACGCACAGCTCCGTTGTTACTCCGCGGGAAGGCAGATAGAGCATCTCATACTTTATCTTTTACCATGCCAGAAATTCGGATCGAAAATGGACCTGACGGAAGTCACACCTACACGGTAACCGGGAATGCGGATTTTCAAAAGCAGTTTGTCAACCAGTATTTCGGTTCTGCCAACCAGTACGTTGTCTCCACCGAGTCGGGATCCACTAGCCAAACGTTCAATTTTCCCCAGTCTGGTGCATTCACCAGTCGCGCTGACGAACCACCTTCCTATAAAGATGTCCTGGATGATGAGAAAGAGCAACTCCGCGATCCGTTGTTGCACAACAATCGCGCTCCTTGCCCGGCTTCCCGCCCCACCCGCACCCAACCCTCCGCTCCAGTAAATGTGGCCCACCTGCTGGTCGACCCCGAACCGGATCCCGAAGATGAAGAGGGCGACAAATATGATTGTGCGATGGCATGTATGCGGATCGGGGTGGTTGTGTCGATCCTGGGTGGAGTGGCACTGATTAAGTGGGAAGAGTCCTACCAGGCTGATGTGTTGGCCTTGCCCGACCCGGATTGGCAGGCCAAGAAGCAGTTTCATCTGCGGTCGGGCTTCGGGTGGTTCCTGGTGGTACTTGCGCTGGTTTGCTACTTTGTTGACGCTTGGGTTAATGATGTCGCTGAAATGTTGAAAACTTTATCCGACACGAATTTGGAGGATCATTTGGAAAGCGTCCGGCGAGGTAGGCTTAAGCGAATTACAGTACCGACAACTATCTTTGTCACCAATAGGTTGTCTAAAATTCGTTTAAGCCTTTACTTCATACGCGCAGTGTAATTAAGGAACCACAACTATTCGCTTTATTATAGGCAGACCAAAGTTATCGTGGCATATGAAATGCTTCCATCGTGACCGCAGCACCGCGGTGATAACCAGCGCCGATGGATCTAAGCGCACTGAAGACCGCAACGACCAAATCACCACGTGGACGGGTTTGGAATCCTTCCGGTTCTCCCAGTGGGTGGATGTAACTCCTGATCAGACGAATGAATTCGGTTCCATTAACAAAATCACCTTTCACAGCAAGTACGTTTTAGCCAATACGGAAACGAGACAAGCGTACGAAGCGCAGAAGAAAGCGTTTATCGACGCCAACAAGCACCGTGATGCGGAGTACAGTATCGAGGAAATTTTTGAAATCGAAGGATACCAGAAGGAAATGCTGGTGAAATCTGGAGACTCGTGTACCGGGAGTGGTTGCGCTTATTTTCTGTTTGTGATTACCGGTCTGATGTATATTTGGCGGTTCGCTGTTAACGCCAGCATACGCCGCGTAGCATATACGCACATCAAACAGTTATCTGTTTAGATCACTGTGCATTTTGGGGGGTTGCCCAAGATGTCTCTCAAGTCTGATTTTAAGAGAATTTTCTAGACATATTAGTGTACCCCTTCTAATGGTGATGACGCCTCAATGGTGGTCACTGACACACTGGTCACGGTGCGAGTACCGAGTAGGTTAGTAATGAATAATGATGCTCGTAGGAATGAAACCTGCAGCATGTACAGATATGTAGTATCATCACTAGAGTAGTATGTGCATGTAGTAGGCAAAATGTAGGGTGTGCTGCGTACCGAACCGAAATAGGTTGGTAGTGCTCCTCGTAAAGAATGAAACCTACAACATGTACAGAAATGCAGTATGCACACGTTGTATGCAACCTATAGTATGTACTACGTAACGAACTGAACAGATTTGTAATGCTGAAGAAATTTTAACTGCTTTAAATAATGTTGAGTGGAAGACAGTATTGTCGCTAAAAAGTTTTTACCACGAGGATCATGTACTGTTGTTGGAAGTGTAAATACTTGTTGATTTTTTGGTGGTGATTAATATTTTCCTGTTTCTTTCTTCCTGTGACGTGTCTGCTGCCTCGAATTGGGTTTGACCCAGACCGCTTGCGAACGTTAAACGATCAAATTAAACAATAATTTTTACATTGTTTAACAGTAGATTCTGATGCAAAATTTATTTACTAACAAAATGCAGTAAAAACAGCATAAGCATCTCAAGCTAAGTAATTAATTTACGTTTACAAGTTTCAGATATGGACAAATACAAGCTTATACTAGCTCAGTTTTCTTATGTTACTAGTACTCAGCGTTCCTAAATCGTGAGCCAACAGCTAAATTAATGCAAATGTACTAGTACTATCGACTCGTTATTAGTTAGACGTGTGACATTATCACAGTTGCATCGCAATGATGATCGCATCCACCGTACAAGAAAACGATTGCGATCAACCCTACCATAAAAACACACAGATACAGTACTTACCCACTTCGTTCTTAAACAAACAATTATGTACTTACACTGCACAGTGTACGGTAAAACCAACTGCAAAATAACCAAAACTACTTGAGCATTCTCTCCACCTCGTAGAAGTGCGTTCACAGACATTGGCCGATAGTGCTGCAGCCCATCGGGATAACAACGTACAACATGTTTATTACATTATTATTCGTGCCATTACACCTTACTTTAGCGAATGCAATCGGGGAGTCGCTTTTGAATCTGCCATCAGGCAAGTTCATCCTCCAAGTGCTCTCCAGATGTATGCGATCAAGTTTAATATATGGAAAAAAAGGTTGTTTTTAGCTGCAAGAGATTCGCCGGAAAGCGATAGAAATTCGTACTTCAACGACATCATCTGGAATGATGAAGATGACGGAGAACTGCACCAATACGCCAATGCCACCGGATATCTTCCAGTGGAAAATTATTGGCCCAATAACGGAAAAAATATTCCTTATGCCATCGAAGGGTTCAGTCAGTTTTCTGTGCTGGCTCGCACTGCTATACATTTATGTATTTCCTGGGATTTAAACCGGTAATTATAACCGTTTTGACAGGTCCGGAACAGAAACAAGTAATCAAGAAAGCTCTGCGCATAATTGAATGGCGAACCAGCTTGTGCATCACTTTCAAAAAGCGCAAACAAGAACGGGAATATATACAATTCTATCCGGGAAGGAGGTACTGCAGTATTAGCAGTTTTGTAAAATGCTTTTTATATGTAAATGTTTACGCCGTAAATCGTGTAGTTGCAAAGCGCACATTGGGTACGTTTTCGGACACGCTGCCAAAGTACAGCTGCACACGGACTGCTTCTCATCCGGCATTATCCAGCACGAAATCCTGCACACGCTAGGTATGTTCCACGAACATAACCGGCCCGACCGCGACCAGTACATCTCCCTGATCGAACACAACATTCGCACCGACCTGGATAAACGGAACTATGAGATCCTGCCGCGCATGGCCACATACGGCATGCCGTATGATGTAGACTCGATTATGCATTATGGGAACGGTGTGGAAATTTCCAAGAAAGGCCGAACAGCTATTGTAGCCAAAGTGCCATCCGACAACATGGGACAGCGGAAGGGTTTAAGTGTTTTGGATGTGGCTAAGCTGCAGAAAGCCTATCGGTGTTCACTGGACGATGGTGCATTTGAAGGACGACTGTTGGAACGCATGTTGGATTTGAATTCGGATCTTACTCCAGGTTAGTCGAAAAGCTGCCACAGTAATCGCAGCAAAGGAAACGATAATCAAATTAAAAGCCAATGTCTTTTTTGCTAATGCTAACTGCAGCCCCAAAGTCCGGGAAATTAGAATTTTGCTATCGGACATCGTATAACGTCTTCTTAAGACTTTTCGTTTTTTCTTGTTTTCTTTACTTTTGGTAAACACTCACCTTTAGTCGCTAAATCACTTTACCTTTAGTAAAGTTTTTTAAAAATCTTTTAGCTAAATTGTTGATTTTTTTAAACGAGAATTTCATAATTGTCTATGTGAGAGCACTTCAAAGAAACATGACGTTTTTTTAGGTGAAGGGACGGTGATGTTGGAGCCGTTTCCGCAGTTCTCCAGAGAACCAATGGCACGCGAGCACTGTGCCCTCCAGTTTACAACCAACTGTCGACCATCGTGGCCATCCACACCCAGCAACTGCACTCACACACAGAGCCTAGATATTACCTGCAATAACCTGGCACGCGCGCATGAACTCCGGCAAATGACCGCATCTATGTCGTCATTTCCGTTAAAAGCCACAAAAATCGATGTGTACGACGGCGGCCAAATTAACGTCGACTCTTTTGCTGCCATTCGAAAGCAAGTTGTGGTCTTCGATTTACGCAACTGTACGAACGAAACAGCCACGCAAAAGCTGCTGACCATGCAGTTTACGAATTTGCTGGATTTTGGTCTAATTAATTGTTATAATTTGGAGATCAGACGTCTCGACTTCAGCTTATCAAATAAGCTGAAGATGATTGCGTTCTCCAACGTGACAATCCAGCAACTGGAAAGGGATACATTTACCGATCTCCCGGCTTTACGCTTGCTGTCATTAGAATATGGACTAAACAACATGGAAAATTTTAACAAGCCTCTACGCGAATATTTGAACCGCCTTCATTGTAGCTGCGAGTTCAAATGGTACCGGCAGTGGTGGAGTAGCAACCGGCAACTGTTGCGAGTGGCGGCCGAGGGTGAAATTTATCGAACCGCTAATTCGTGGGGAAATGTTGCAATTAGTAAGGAAATGCTGTACCTACCGATTGACTGCGATGCGGTGTCGTTTCCATCAGGCCCAGCTTCCATTAACCATTCGCAGTATGGATTTTCAATCAATGCACCGAACTGTGAGTATTCTACTTTGCATTCAAACTGAAAACATGAGATACCGTAATTGAAGCGTTTGTATAGGCGTTCATCATTCGAAATCGTTCGGTTTTACAATCGTTTTTCAATTTCTTCGATCTTAATAATCGCAAGTTGACAAAAAATATTTTTAAGCCACAACTTCTTCAGTGTTATGTTAGTATTTCTATAAAGCTCACAAAACATTCATTAACAAACACATATGTGCGTGCGGTTAACTGGAAAGCGCGCCAACAGCAGTTGCACTACGAAAATCAGTTAAAGCATTGGAACTTTTTGAACTCTGATTATGGTTAAAGGATTTGCAACCCATACACCTACGTGTATTACAGCGATTTAAATTCTGCTTTTAGATGCCTTAGAAGGAAAGCTCAGCTGCACATCCGAAAGTGGAGAATCCGATGAACCCTTCCCGGATTTTTCTACTGAACCGTTAACCAAAGAACAGTGTGACCTCCAGTTTAGCACCCACTGCGCCCCGTACGGCGGCAAACGATTCAACTATTGTGGGACTTCCGCTGGCATGGCAATCGTTTGCGGCCGGCAAGCAGATGCACAAGAAATTCGGCAGATAACTTCGAACATGGCTAAATTCCTTCCGCGGGCAACCTTGCTAGATTTGTATGACGGATCGCATCTATCCTTCGGGACATTCTCCCCAATCCGCAGACAAATTGTGCTGCTCGGTTTATTCCAGTGCATCGCTGCTCGATCCACTGGCAAACTTAAAGAAATGCGCTTAATGAATTTGCTACAGTACGGATTGTACAACTGCTATAATCTACAAATCCTCAAGGATGATTTCAAGTATTCCACGAAATTAAGGGTCATCGAAATGAGGAACTCAACAATCCGGACGTTAGAAAGCGATACATTCACGAGTTTGCTATCCTTGCGAATTTTGGCTTTGGAATTGGGGTTGAAGGACGCTACTGTTTATAACAGAGATATTCAAAACTATTTGTACCGGTTGCACTGTTCATGTGAATTTGCCCCATTTCGGCACTGGAGAAAGAATAACAGCAGGCTACTGGATCACGCTGAGGATAAGGAAGTTTATGTGATCCCGCGCGCTGTCGGTAGTTTACAGTACTCACGAGCTGACATGTACTTGCCGGTTAACTGCGCAATGAATCCATTTCCTTTCGGAGTTGGCTCCATAAATTTTAGCCAGAGCGAATTTTCGTTGCATGATGACAATCGTTACTGCTGAAATGTTTTCTACTGCCAGTTGTGCTAGAAATGTCAGTAAATTATTGCGCGTGTCCTTACTGCTGCCGCATGGGCATCTTTTTTATACCAGTTTAAGCCTTATGATTACTTCGTACCGGTTATAATTGTTCACTTGCTGTGATTTGCCATATAAACAATGTATTTCACAAGCCAAATTATTGCTTTAGACTTATGGCTGTATAAATACGAAAAAAAAACTAACTGTAAATTCCACTGTGAAAAGCGCGACGGGAAGGAAATGACGCATGGTTAACAGGGATCGACATGGTTGATAATTTGATATCTGCTTTTCTCACGAACCTATCTCTTGATATGCAAGGGACGGTCTACACTGATGCCTCTTATCTAGTGAGCGTCATCGCTTTATTAACAAAAACCGGAAGCGTCTGGTACAGATTCGCAAGATATTCCTGCTAAGCTAGCAAGCTTGGAATGCAAGTAGAAGATTTATTATCTCAAAAAATATTATCCTCGCAGCTGTCACATACTTTGCTTTTTATTTTTTGACAGCAATAAATTGTCAGAGTTTTTAGCCCATAATCCGTAAAGGTGGTTAACCTAATTCTTAGCAAAACTATAAGGATGGACGCCAGAATAGTAAGCAGAATGCTGATTGGCGTAACCTTTGGAGTGATCGCGTTGCAACAGCTGGAAGCTACCGACCACCGTAAGTAAAAGTTTTTTAGATTACAAGTACTGCAAAAAGCTTGCAAACGCGCTAGCATAATGAAATTTTACTAGTTCAGCATTTATGTGAAATATTCACAAGACTTATATCTGAAAACTTATACCAGACGGTCTCGTTCTGTAAAAGCGCAAAACAGAGCCTTATGACGTATTGCTGAATTGGTCAAAAATTAAACTGCAATCGTAAACTTGCAGAAATCGGCCAGATGGCTGTGGATTTATTTTTGCCGGTAATAACGGTTCCATACAGCAACGTCCAAATAACTATCTTCAAAAGCCCAGCGGCCATTTATTACTACGCTCCCGCATGCGCCTTAGTGCCTAATTCCACCTATGTATTCTCCAGTGTGAACTCGCATCAGAATTTTGTCGTCTTTTCCGTGAAGCTTCGCGATGCGCAGTACCAAGAATACCTGGAGGCCGAAACATCGCTGCGGCTACACGAAACCATCAACCGGACCAATCTGCAGATGATCCCATTCCAAAGCATGCGCTTCGATTCCACGGATACATTCTCCAGATTAGCGATATCCAATCAGTGGATCTCGGTGGGCCATCAACCCGGTATCGTTCTCGGCCGTATCATGTGCTCGACCAATAAAGAATGCAACGCAGTCAAAAAATCTTTGGACGATCCCAACCAGCAGAACCACATCTTTGCCAATATGGAAGTCACCTTCGCTCTGAAAAAACCCTTACAGATGCGGAAGCGCGTGACGTTGACCACCGCTTTTGAGCACTCTTCACTGTTCGGTTCAATGGAGCAGCGTTTCTCGCAGGCTACCGATTCAACGGTCTGCATGCAGGAATCCGTTCTGCGCAGTATGATGCGAGAAGTACTGAACGGGATTTTTGAAAACCAGTTAGCGCATGATGAATTTGTTAGCGAAGACCAGATGCACAAAGCGGTCAGTCACGCCGTGCGCATGGTTAAACCAAATATCACGTCCACGGATTCGTTTCGGTCTGAAGATTGGCTGAAAACGTTCTGGCCGAGGGTCACCGACCGCCCGGACGAAAGAGCCAAAAACCTGAACGCCCGTGTCGGTGGCGACAAGACCTGGATGAAGGCCCTGTTCAAACCGGGAAGCAGTTATAAAGCCATGGAGCCGGCTCGTTCGGGGCTGGACTCGCAGTCACAAATGGATTGGAGCGTTATTGCATCGCAGCTAGAAGAAGCCGATGGGTTGGTTCAGTGGAACGGCGAGTCGTTTGTCACCACACCGATAACGTTGTACTGCATCAACTTAACGTGGTTACTGACCGCGGAGAAAATTCTAGGGAATATTACCATCCTGACCAGCGTCAAATCGGGAGACTTGACGTCAGCTGTGAATATTCCGGCAGCTGCGTCTATCGACAAATTTGTGCAGCCGTGGAAGCGGGAGACGGAGCGATGGGAGCAGGCAGAGAAGCGCATGCTGGAGATGAGAAACTCGGTTACAAACTTGGTACCGGTTGGGTCTATCATAGCGCACTACCGCAATGACAGTCTACCGGAATGCTGGTTGTATTGTAATGGCAGCAGCTTTAACGATTCACTCTATCCGTTATTAGCCAGTTTCTTACCAAACAATACCACGCCAGATTTCAGAGGGCGGATTCCGGTGGGAACGGGTGCGGTTTATAGTAAGGAGATCGGATTAACTGGTGGAGAAGCTAATCATACGCTGACGGTGGACCAACTGCCTCCTCATCAACATCGCGTTAACGTTACCGGGACTAACAACTACAGTGATGGGATTTACAGACTTTACAATTCATACGTAACCGGTTACCGGGATAACAGCGACAGAAATGGAGCGTCTCATGGAACTCTTCTTACGGAACCAGTTGGGAAGGGACAAGCATTCAACAATCTACAACCGTTCTTAACAACATCGTTCATTATTCGCGCTTGTTGATACCAACTGCTCTGCAAAGTCTGTAATACCTGGGTCACGGATTATGCTCTACAATTGCAGTTTACGCATGTTTACTGTATGCTAGTGCTGCGGATACTTGTACCGGAGAACCAAATACCAGTATGTGGACGGCAGAGTTTAACTGATAAACATACTTGGCTATTCTGTTGGTCGGGTGTTACAAAATAGTCTGTTGTTAACACTTACATGTATAATATTTTAAACTTGTCCGCTTCAGAAACACAAACTTTTATGCTGGTATCGAATTTTGCGTTTTTTTTTAACGCTGACAGGAAACATGAAGATGCAGTATACACGAGTATGTGTCTTCAAAACTGAACCCTTGCAAAACCGACCCGATTTAACACGATAACCCGTTTATTTTCTGTCTTAAATAAAAATCTTCTGACGTGTAAGATTTTGGTAAGGAAATCTGTATATTATTTGGACGTACAAGATCCGCCTTTGGTCTGTTTGGTCTGTCGTGTGGTTTGCTTAGCCAGTATAAGCGTTGAGTATAAAAGGCCGGCGTACTCTGTCATTCCCCTTCGCATTGCTGTCATTTGCAGTTCGCAAAAACACCCAGCGAAAGTATAAGTATCGTTGTTGTTTTTATTTTCAAGAAAATCGCTGCTCAAAACGCGATTGTGAATTTCCACACTCGTGCGGCGAGTGTAACGGAAACCACCGCGCCATGAACTGTGGCTCTATTAGAGCCGGAAACGGTTCGCATAATATGTGACTGGATTCTGTAGAGAGCGAAAATGTTTCTTGTGACCTTGTTAATTTTTCGTTAGATTCTGATTTGTTAACTCGCTGTTCTCTAACAAAGTCGTTTGCTAAATGGGTCAGCGCACTGGGCGATGATCCAGATGCAGACTTTATTTTAAATGGCATTGCTTACGGATTCAGGTTGGTGCCCGATTTGTCTCTTGTTTCGCCAGTAGACTGTCCCAATTATCGCAGTGCGCTAGATCCCGTTGCCAACGCGGAACTGAATAAGCTCTTTCTCGAAGAGTTAGAACAGGGCCGTATAATGGAACAGGACATGAAGCCTCTGCGCATTCAGTCAATAGGCGCCGTTCCCAAGAAGGGCAGTAGTTCATATAGGCCAATCACTGATTGCAGCAGGCCAGTTGATTGTTCTCTGAATTCATTTACTCAGTCTGAGACGTTCGCCTTTGAATCTATTGATAACGTTTTGGAATTTAGCACACCTAACTGCTACTATGCGGTAGTGGACATAAAAGCAGCATATAGGTCAGTTCCTGTATATCCACCGCACAGGCAGTTGCAAGGTTTCTGATGGTCCTTCGCCGGAAGACCGCCAGATGTTTATTATGTTGATTGTTTTCTCTGTTTTGGCCTTTCTAACGCACCATCGATTTTTCAAAGGATCTCTACTGCTATTGCTAGAATTTTGAAAAAGCGCGGGAGGAAAGTGGTTGTTTATTTGGATGACTTTCTTGTTAAAGGCGACACTTTTGAAGAATGTGAAGCCATAAAACAAGAACTCATTAATTTGTTAATTTTACTCGGTTTCTTCGTTAACTGGGAAAAAGTGCAAGGGCCGACACAAATCATCACCTTTCTAGGTGTTGTTATTGATTCAGTCAGACAGCGTCTTCTGTTGCCTGATGATAAAATTAATGAGCTTGTCGCACTTGCACATAATCTCAGTGAGCGGAAAAAAGTTACGAAACGTGAAATTCAAAGTTTTGCGGGGAAAACGGCATTTGCCGCAAGGGCACTGTACGGTGCGCGTACGTTCTCCCGCATATTTATCGACTGCGTTTGTGTATTAAAGCAGCCAACCGATCGAATGCGAATTACAGATAAGTTGCGCAATGAACTAAAATGGTGGACAATTTTTGCGCCAACCATGAATGGTTTATGCATGCATCGTTTTTCGTGCGAGCGCACAGTTAAAACCGTAACCACAGATGCTTCGTTTTCGGGATTTGGTGGGTGCACACAAGGAACCTGGCTGGCAGGAACTTGGGATGACTCCCGGAGTGTGCCGCCGGGGTTCACACAGAATTGGGTGCCGTCACCTGAGTTGCACAGCGCGCTTGTTCGAAACATTAACTTTTTAGAATTAATTGCTGTTTGTATTTGTTTAGTTGTGTTTGCGCCGCTGCTGCAGGGATGTAAAGTAATCGTTAAATCTGACAATACGCAGACAGTGGCCTTTATAAACCGTGGAACTACAAAAAGCGCCCCTGCCTTGCAGTGGCTTAAACTGGTACTGTTCGCCAGTATACAGTTCAATTTCCGTGTGTTTGCGGTACACTCGGCGGGAGCACAGAATGTAGTGGCAGACGCCCTCAGTCGCCTGACAGAAAGTGTAAATTTTAGTAAAATTCTTTTTGAAAATGTTAATTTTTTATTTCCTGGGACACGCTTACCGATCGGTTCGTTTTGCAGCTACCCAGTTAAAGGCACTGGAAAGCGAGCTGACGAATTTACGCCATGGTGCAATGGCGCCAAGTACCAGGAACACTAGAATGTCCCAATGGAAGCGGTTTATTTTATTTTGCGACGAATTTTCTTTAAATAACTTGCCAGCAGAGGAGTATACTGTTGCCCTTTATATAGCTTACCTTGCACGCACACTTGAATATAATACTATTCTTAACTACGTGTTTTCGCTCTCATCTTATCACCAAATAAATAACTTCGTCTCGCCCGACTTGAATAATTTTCTGATCAAGCAAGCGTTAGCAGGTGTACAACGGTCACGTTATAAACACCCAAACAAACGCGCACCAATTACGCTTGAGCCTTTGTACTCTATTAATTCCCACGTTGGTTGTCTTCCAAATAAATACAGAACAACATTTTGGGCTGCCTGTTTAGTCGCCTTTTTCAGCATGTTACGCAGCTCAAATTTGTTTTTTAATGACACCGGCATGCATTTAAAAGTTTCTGACGTTACGCTTCGCCCATGTTCTCTTGTGCTCTCTGTGAATGTACTTAAAACAGCCCGCCATCTTTCGGAGCGTATTTCGGTTCCGATACCGCGCTTAGCAAAAGGTCACGCTTTGTGCCCTTACCGTGCTATTAGGGACATGCTGGCCAAAAGCAAAGCTAGTGGTGATGATGCTTTGTTCAGTTATTGTGTTGACGAAATTGTTATGCCCCTCTCCAGTTGCAGGTTCAATGAATTACTACGGCTTGCCCTATCCTCCGCCTCCATACCCGCCAAGAAGTTTTCCGCGCACAGTTTTCGCGGTGGCGCCGCCACATATGCCGCCGAGCTGGCCATTCCCTCCGATGCACTAAAGGCACAAGGGAATTGGAAAAGCCAGTGTTTTGAAACTTACATTCAACGGACAGACGCCCTTCGTCGCGACTTCGCTACTCTCATAGCCAGTGGCGTTAACTCCTCCTAGCTGCTCTTCCCTCTTGGGGGTTTGGGTGTTTCGGCTCGGCGTGTTACCTCGCCCTGGATGTTTTGGCAATAAAATCCATTCCCCCTTTTACATAGTTATGTGTTGTGTTTAAGCGCGATACCACAAGTACAAATAATATGTTGAAACTGGAGGAGGTACAGTGAATATGGGCTCTCGAACATGGTGAACTACAGTATATAATATACAGTAGCTGCAGGGCAGAACGACATGTAGAGTTCAGTACGCAGAAAATTGCAGATGTCGGCATCAGTATGGCTGCTGTGAATTTACCTATGAGCTGCAGTCCAAAAACCATACAACTGTGTGGTTTTGTAGAAGTACACGTACGTACTCGAACGCGTAATGCATGAGTTGAATTGCCGCAAAAACTTCCGTAAAAACAACACCTTGTGGCTTGTGGCAACATAATTGCGCCCTGAAGCAAATTACATTTCACACAAGTATCAGCAACGCCAGAAACGATGTAAGGGAAGAACGCAGGAAGCGGCTAGTACGTGCTATAGTGCAGAAAAGGTTTCAGATTCAAAAGAAAATGAATACAGCGTGAAAGTTTAGCCAGCTTTTTTAAAATGCGCATTTCAAATTATTTATTGTGTACCATTTGCAGCAAGATTCCTCATTGGCTGCTTGGCCTACAGAATCCCACGGAAACCAAAGTTGTTACGGTTATCGTATCTTTCGGAATTTTCACAATTTTTTCTGATGATACTTGACATGCTGTCCGACTGTTGGGATATCTACAATATGTGGAAAGCCAATCCATACAAAATAATATTTAAATGGCAGATTCTCATTTCCACAGTACTCGGTCTACCGGTTCTGGCATCGCTAGTTCGCGCGTTCCTTCTTGCACGCTTGCGGAGCGCACCGAATGTCCGAACGAACTGGGGGAATACTACGGATCGACTGATCAGGAATGAAGAAAAAGTACTGGTGTTTTCGGAAGCTGCAACGGTGAACCGTGGTATCAAGGCTTGCGGACAGAGCTGCCAGACTGCAGCATTTTTCCAATCTTTTTGGGAAATATACCCATTAAGTGTCATAAGCAGGCAAGTTAGTTTAGTCGAAGCTTGTACTGTATGCTTGCCTGGCCAATAATGTACCAACTGTAGCTACTAGCTATTCTCGCATTTTGCAGTCGCTCGTACCGTTGACTGATTCTTTCATGTACATGTACAGTGTATATACAAATTACTTGTACAAATTACTTATACACACAGACCTGCGCCTTATACAGTTATGCATGAAGAAGTAGTCCGTATTCACTCAATTATTCGTGTTACTCTTCGATGCCAATAAATTGTTCACGTAGATGTTGGACGTTTTGGACCGTATGGAAAAACCAGAAAAACAACCCTGAGGAGTTTCTACATTCATACAATTATAAAAAGGATCCTAAATTCCAGCTTCTTCTCCTGCAAAAAGCTCAGCTTGATGAAATTAAATTCGAAGCCGCACCGCAGCTGGTCATTCAGTTATTATTAGGCGCTTCAATCTGGGTGGCCACTCAGACGGCCCCGCCCGTTTGGAAATGGGGTGTCCTATTCCTCTCGTTCTTGTCCATCTCCAAATATTTTCCCTCTGTCAACCATTTGCCGGGAATCTGTGCATTCAACAACTGCATCTACGTCGAAAAGGATTATATCGAATGGAAGGAGCTGGTTGCGATGCTGAAACCAAATATCTATATCTACAGCGGAGCCTTTAGAAATTTTATTTACATCGTGTGCCGGTACAACCTGGTGGTGGCGTTGTGGTTGTACAACTGGCCGGCACTTGTGTATGTGACGGGGTTTCAAATGATCGTCATTGCGGCCGTTTTGTGTGCGTTGCACAAAAAGGAGTTTCATGAGGACAGCGAACCGTACGTCATGGCGAACGGTATGGCCTTCTGTGCCGAATGGTTGTACGTGGTGGGCAACTTTCTGGTGACCCCGATTGCCACGACTATGACGAACCTCGGCATTCTTCTGGCTTTATTTTGCAGGCGTGCAATTTCGTGGTGTACGCTGTTTTGTTTAAATTAGGATGGGGCCATCAAACCAGTGCAGTCCACATATCGGCCGATGTGGCTGAAGACCACACGGTTTCTCTGCAACAGAACAGAGACTCGGATCGTGAATTTTATTTTATGGTGATATTTAATACCATAACCCTCATATCACTGCCCCTGCTATTGCTACTTATGGAGTGCTGCTGGAAACGTATGGATCAGTGGAGTCACTTCGACAATTGTGAACTCTGTAAAGGTGCGTAAGGCCGTCCGCTGGAGGCAGTTAACGTTATGTTAAGTAATCAGTGGTTGACCGTATCGAGCCTCAGATGGGATTAGTACGGGTAGACCCTTCTTTACCAAACTCCAGGAACAAGCAGATGCACTAACGTGATGAACAGGCTATAAAACAAGGTTAAACGAATTACGAATATTAGTTCAGTTTGCTTGAGAAAGTCTCTATTTATACCGTACTTCGGTAACTTCGCGTGGCTTTCTCCCATTACACAAGTTTTTAGCGTTCTTGTGTTTGCCATCTGCAATGCAGCGATCCCATATGGACGCAGTTTTGAGGGAATTTCTTGTGCTGCAGGTTTTCGTGCTCAGTTCTGTCAGTATCGGCCGTGCTGGTTGTGTGAATGGACTTATTGCCATGATCATCCTCTAGAGCAAAGTAAGATCCAGCGTAAGATACCTTTTATGAGGCCGTTTACACGGCAAGATGTGGATGATGTTGATTTTCCTGAACGGCGAAGCAATGAGGAAGGCGTGCAACTGCTCCCGAATTCTACATACTCCAGCATATGTAAAATCTTGAAAATGCTTGGAGATGTACAGGTTACCGACGATGAGGACTTTCTACTGTGCCGAGGTCATTATAGGCACCTGCAACAATTGAAAAGCGCAAATTTAACAACGACCGTTAACGATAGCTACCGGTTTGATAACGCAAGTGTGGTGCTGGCAAATGTGCAAATAGATCACTCACGGGGAAGTAAAGTTATGGAGTTAAGAAAGAATGGTGAGGAGGAACCTTGGAAGTTTAGGCTGGACCCTTTGGATATGTACAATTTTTTAGTTACGCTGTACTCGAATGAGCAACTATTGAACGCGCACATACCATATCAGTTGTTATTTAAGGCCCACGCTTACACGCAGGGTATTACAGCTGCTGTTTGCCAGAATGAGTGCTGGCGTCTTGTCAAACGGCTTCGGAAGGAGCATGTGTCCTGTTCAAAAGTCGCTTGCTGCTTATTTGTGCGCCCTGTTGACGAACTGATTGCACTGTTGCCGGCGCGGCTCGAGTTCCATCCTGTCTGCAGTCTAGAATACAAAACCCTGCTTGTTCAAGGAATTCTTCCTCCCAGCTCGGAGCTGACCCGGTTTGATTCATTCTACATGGATCGGCCGGGGATAGATCATAGAGCACTGGGGTATTTCGAAATAAAAACGGACGAAATGGATCTGGATACGGATCGCAGCATAGGCGAGATCATCAATGAAATTAGAAGGTTTCCACGCAGAATAGTATGTCCTTTGGAGCAAGTCTCAGCAAGAGAACGACAACCAGTTTAATGGACAAACACGATGGTATATGCCAAGACGATGCAACACCGGCAATAATAATGTAATAGTTTAATGGGTAATTGTTTTGAACAACGTTACCAAATTGTTTTGAACAACGCTACCAATACCAACAACAAAGGTTTTTTGTACTGGTAGTGGTGTCGTAAGTTTTTACAGTAACTGCAGTACTAAATTGCAGACTGATGAAATTAATATAATTCTGTTTTCTTAGAATCTTTGTGTAGATATCATTATTTGTATTATAATTATTACGGCACAAGGGCCGATGACCCCATTATAAACCGATATTAAGCCAGTAGCAGCAAGCCTATTTACAAACATAAGCCTTACTTTCTAGTATGTGTACCCTTGGATGTTTCAATTACCTACATAGGTAGTTAGCATTTTAATAAAAGCAAAACATCTAATGCTGCACATTCTGTATAAAAATGTGTAAAATGGTTTCACCGGTTTACAGCAGAAACTTCTTGCATTTACAATACTCTAATCTTTGTCAAAAACAGCCCGGAATTACAACTGTCCGAACTGTATTAAAGCTAGAAGGAATTCACTGTACTACTCCCAGTTTTCCAGTACTCCAGCACTACTGTAGTGTAAAGAACTCGCATAGATACTTGCAATTTGTTTCTATAATGCCTCGTAAAAGCACTTATATACAAAACATAAGATTTGCATTCACTTGTATATATTTATATATTGTCAGTTTGTCACTTACATAATGTATATTTTTGTTTTTTTTGAAGTGCGCATTTAGATACAAGATTTATTGCTTTTATAATAGAAGGCAGATACATCGGCAAATGATTTTGTTACTAAAGAAGTCGAACTGTTACGATTTAATACGCGTACCACAGCAGCTGTACTGTATAGGCCATCTTGTATTTTACATACTGCAAACCATATCCATACAAAATTTAAACATTCCCCAATTCCTTCTTGATACTGTATGTATTCACAACCGGTGGCGTTGCATTTGTGCATAAATTATCCCAGCATTCGTCAATGTTCGGAACTATAATCGCCTTTAACATTATCCTTTTGCTTCTCTTTCTTTCCATTTGGCTCCTTTTCTTTCTCTTTGGCTTTCGTCTTTACCGCTTTCGTTTTAACCGCTTTCGTCTCCGCTCCGGCATAGTACAAATCCTGATCGTAGTGATCTCGCGGTGCATCGTAATAATACGACCGTGGGCTGTCATAATTATAATTGTAGCTGTTTCCGTAAAAGTTTTGGTTTGGATACACGGGATTGCAGTAAGAATCCACCTTTATCAATAAACTGTACATGCATCTTTGTACCAAACAAATTAAATCACAGGACCGCAAAATTAATCCTGTTGACATGCGGAGTCGCGGACATACCTGATTTGGCCAATCGCACACTTGGAGATAGTTGTTGAACTTGAGCGAGGCCGGACAGTCCATCTTATCGAAACGTCCATCGGCCTGGCAGATGTGGAAGACACGGCAGTTGTACCCGGGATTGCCGTACATTCCCGGTGGGTGTCCGTAGCAACCCGGAGACTCGTAGCGGTAGATGGGACGGTTGTATGTCACTGGCCGGTAAGCCGGTCGATATTCGTACCTAACATAATTCAAAGTTTTTAGTGAAACAGTTTTGTCATGAGACATTTAAGTTCGGTCAATCTATTTGTACTGCTCGATCAGGAAAATGAAAAAGTCAACAAAAAAAGCTACTCGTATAAAATGTTAAGGCAACCGTATAGAAACAGTATACTGAACAAGTATTTTGAGATATTTGCTAATCAGGAGCCCCCATAATCCCTTATCATACCAAATACGTATTTCATAGACGCAAAATCGAGCGCACAGAACAAATATTATACAGCAGAAACAAGTAATCCGCTTCTATTGAATAAAAACTTATGAATACGGGATCGACCACCTTCAAACGGAGATTCATAAATACCGTAGATAGGCGACGGATTTGTAAACAGATATTAATATATAAGATAGGTTTATTGCTTATGCAGAGATTATCTTAAAATTAGCCGGCAAATTATGATTGCCAAACATTAGCTTTCCTGCCTTGGATACAAATACTTTATGCTGCACGTTAAACTGGCAAATTAGCTTCCGAACTTAACATGTTACAGTGTGTACCTGGCATATCTCGGTCGGTAAGCCGGTCGATAAGACGGTCGATATAAACTGTAGCTACAAAACAAATCAGCTTAATCCTCATCCAGCATGAACCCAACAACACGAACACCGGCACAACATACTGCCTTAACGGATATCCGCTCTCCGCTGCCTCGAAGAACCGGGCGCTACTCGAGGCATTCCGCTTGGCCCCAGGATTCCCACTCCGGCCCACCTTCTTTATAGAGAACGCCGGATTTTTCCTGACCCGTTTAAGTTGATCGGCCCAGGAATACTTGGCATGCACGGCATTCCACGACACCATAAACAACGCCAATGTGGCTATTCCACAGCGCATGATGGAGACCGATTAATCCGCTATCTGATAAAGAAGGCGCTACAATGTATCAGACAGTGGGCTTAACATGCCAACAGAACACTAGTCCGCTTAGTCGCACACTAACCATCCCCGCTCTTCTCGCCTCTCTAATTTATAAAATGCCAACCAGCTCCGACGGTTACCACTGCAGGCACTGCTGTATCTTCACACCCCGCGGCCCACATTCGCCATTGTGGGGGGATTGTTAGTCCGTTTGGTCGGCGCGTCGGTGTATTAGGCGATAACGTAATCAACATTGATGGGAATTATGTCCGAACGGCTGTCTGTATTAATAAGCGAATAGCCTACGCACCGCAATAATCAACAATTATACATATACAACGAGCCACCACCGTCTTTTCCCCCGGCATCGCTGTTGTCCGCGTAAATGACCTCCAAGGTTTGGACAAAGATGCGCTGATGCAGCAGACGGCGTCACTTGTAGTGGACACTCATAATTAAGTTGACTTAAAGCGATTGCTGCCGCTGATTGTTTGCTCTTTATTGATGCGACGTGTTGAGTGGTCAGGTGCCGGTTTTGTTGTGTGGCTGGATATGAGACCAGGCAGATGCTGTACCGGTTCTGTGTCAACACCGTGGTTAACGTGACTCGAGTAATCGTTGTTTGTGGTTATTGTTTAGGCAGCTGTTCAGGACTGTAGTGTGTTAAGCTACCTAAGTTTGTGTGTGATCATAATTAAAATGTACTTTTAGCCATTCATTGGTCGCTTAACAGTAAAATTAATGGCACCTGTACCGGCTTTTCGTAAAGACTGTTAATCCTGTCCATGCAGAAACTTCGACTGCAAGAGAAAAGATATTAAAATTATTTAGAAAACAGGGAGGTGGCTTAAATACATAAATTAACCACTGCGAAACTCTGTACTGGCGTATTACGTAAAGACTAATTAATGTATCGGTAATATCATTATTATTTATACAAACAAATATAGGATTATGATTATAAGTGGTTTTGCCGGGTAAGACAAAACCAGACAAAAGTGTATCATCAATTTTTAGGTAATCACTTACACCTGAAAGGCCACGCCACTTTGAACCCTGCTTGCACATTTGAAAAAATCTGGAACAACTACCGCGCTCGCTCTCTGTCCGAGAATACGTTCGTAAAAAATTTCACGAGACTGTGTCAATAGTGTAAACTACTGATGGTTTATGGTGGTGAATGGCCTTTACTAATTGCTAACTCAGATGCGACGCTAACCCAATCGACCTGACCACGTTGACCTTTATTAGCTAACCAAAACACAGTCACTGAACCACTGAACTACTATCAGACTGTAGAAAACCTTCCATAGAAAATATTCCACTATCCAACAGCTAAAAGGCGATAACTAACTCTCTTCACATTTGCTCTTCTTCCATCACACTCAACAGTGATCTTCCATGCATTTTACAAAACACACAAATGACACGCCTCTAAAATAATATGTACTCGTAGACAAAACATTGGACAAGTTTTTATCGACCACTTTTTAGGGATTAAAGTCCACTTAACACGGACACTTTCTGGCCACTTCCTTGGTCTTCTTCCTGTGGTTTCTCATAGGACAATCTCAGCACCCTTAGTCCCTTACATATGTACTCCGATTATTGCTGTCTGTTGTCTGTCCACAATGTACTTATACCAATCGATAAGGCAATGAAATGATTCATACACACTGATCCCTTCCGGCCATATCACGATATGACTGTCCATACAAACTGTACTTCTACCAGTCATACATACTCATGACAACTGCATTTTAAAATGGGTGATTATTAAATCAAGATTTTGTACAAATGAATTTGTACAAAATTAATCTTGGAGTGTGTAAGGCAGCTGTTAGCTGGATTTATCATGCAGTAGCGATCAGTTTCGGCAGCTAGCCAGAACTCTATCTCTTTAATCAAAATACACGTAACGAGATGTCTTTTGCAGCAGGTTTATCAAAATCCTGTTTGTACCTTCTGTTAAGCTTTAAACGTTACGAGATTCTTTCTGCTGATAATGTCCCCAGACATCCAGTTTATGACTCATGGGGGCAACAGTCGAATTAAATTAATAAACTATCTCGTTTCGACGCCGAAAGGTATGTACTGTATATCCGACTGCTGTCTGCTGGTATAATATGTAAAAACATGTTGTAAAATTGGCCAGATGGAAACACCGTCTCTACCAAAGTGGCATATCGTTCAACATGGCAAGCCGCAGTATATCGGTGAACCTGCCAAGTCTGGCGTTTAACCAGCTGTTAGACACCAACGTTGCCCAGCTGTACAGCGCGGCCACCGCCCTGAAACCTGATGGAAATCTGGCGTTGTCCCCTCTGTCCATTCTGTATGCGAGCGCGCTGATGTACATTGGCTCATCCGGATCCACTAAATCCAATTTGGACAAGAGCTTCCATTTCGACCAGTATTTCAGCAGCAATGCCGACTCCGTGCTCTCCGCCTTCTCCACATCCATGGCCAACTTTACCTCGGTCAAAACTGATGGTGATCCCTTCGTTATCAATTTGGCTAACGGTATATTTTTGCAAAAAGGCGCGCCGTTTGTCAGCAAATTCAAAGATGCCGCTGTTTCCAAATTGAAATCCGAAGCTCAGTTCAAGGATTTCCGAACCGGCGCCGAGAAAGCCCGAGGAGAAATTAACACGTGGGTGTCAGACAAGACAAACGGGCGCATTAAAGATCTGTTGCCTGCTGTCTCAGCGGATACCATTGCGATACTGGTCAACGCCCTGTACTTCAAGGGCAGCTGGGAATCCTGGGCGAAATTTGATCCCAATCTCACCGAAAAGAAGGACTTCACGCTGCTTAACGGACAGAAGACCAAGGTGGACATGATGCAGAGTTTTCAATACTCGCTTGCGTATGCTGAAGATTCTGCTTTAGATGCCAAATATATTGAGTACACCTACACGAATAACCTCGGCGCCATGCTTTTCTTGTTACCCAATAAGAAAAACGGAGTGCGCGCACTGGAAAAAAAACTAACGGCCGGCATTTTCAATACTCTGAAGAAAAAAGCTAAAGAAGAGCGAGTGTCCCTGCAGATCCCCAAGTTCAAAGTGGAAACGAGTTTCGATCTGAAGATGCTTTTGCAGAAGATCGGCGTAAAGGAGGCTTTTGATCAAAACAGCGCTGATTTCTCCAACATGACTCCGCAAAAGCCGGTGTGGATTGGCACTGCCTCGCACAAAACATTTGTCGGTAAGAGTGCATCTGTTTTAAAGAAACCGGTTACTGACAGCAAGTTATTTAATTTATTCTACAGAGAAGCCGGTTGTTGCTTACTTAATTCTGGAAATAATTAATGTATGTCTGTTTTGTTTGACAGAAATTGATGAGCAAGGCACGGAAGCCGCGGCGGCCAGTGCTTTCGAAATGATGGCCGGAGCATCATTGCAAGAAGAACCACCGAAAGAATTTATTGCCGATCATCCGTTCATCTTCGCCATCCGCCACAATCCAACCAATGCCATACTTTTCCTCGGTCGCGTGGAAACATTTTAGCGTGCGTTTGAATAGCCCGCTAAACAAATTGTTTTTTTCCAAACTTTCTTTAACGCTGGCTTGGGTAGCAAAAAAGCTTGATCAAATATTCAGCCGTTGAAAAGTCCTTAAAATTATTCGTAACTCCCTCAGCTGGATTGCGGCCATCAGCAATAAAGAATCTTAGCGTAGACCGACACCATATAATAATTGTGATATAAAAGATACACTGGCAGCAGTAAATCGTATCCAGCATAACTGATAACACGGTCATCAGACACACGGATAATGCAAAGTGTGAGCAGTAAACATTTGTAAGAGACAGAAAAGTGGATGGTGGGTGTCCCGTGAAATCGCATCCACCAATAATAAGGACCACCATGCTGCCAAAATCCGGCAGAAAGATAGATGACGTTCGGCAGAGATGCAGAATGCGGGATGGTGTGCAGTTATGGCGAGCGGCTGGGGTAAAAAGACAGTCACCTTCATTTTGATCGTTTTATTCGAAACTTCACTTTCTTCACCTTTCTTTCTTCATTTTCTTCGCTTTTTTCATTTTCACTTCCTTCACTTTCTTTACTTTCTTCACTTGCTTCGCTTTCATCACATTCTTCACTTTCGTCGCTTCACTTATTTCAGTTAGCAAATTTCTTCATTTCTTTAAGTTTTTCGCTGCTTCTCTTTCTTACGTATTGCTCCTGTGCGATACCTAACTAAAGCAAAGTGAGTTGCTCAGAATCAATTACAGAAACCTTGGTTAATGCAGTAACAAGCAGCAGTAAACATTTTGCAAAAGTGCAACACTTAACAGTACGTCGCAATAACGCAACAATAACATCTGAAAATTTGCAAATTTATATTCCTCACACCATTTTATTCTCGGCATGGAAGAAGTCGACGAAGGAACAGATCTCAGTGTCCGTTTCTTGGATAATATACCTGATGTCATGATGACAATCCGAAATCTTTGAGACGTGCTTTTCTCCCGATGGCTCGGCAGTCGGCACAATTACTTTACAGTCTACGATATTTATTAAAGTTAAAAAAAATTTATAGGCACCCATTTTCATCCCCGTATACCTTGTTTAATATTTTTTTTATTATTGTAATCCTTTATTAGTAAAATGTCAGGCCGCTTTGCAAATTTTTTCTTGAAAATATACGCTTCCTACTTACGTACATGCCGGCTTCAAAACTCTGCACTGCTTGCTGAGACATAAGTACCGGTAATCGTGTTCAGTCGTTAACAGTTTATACTCGTAAATTCTGGACAGTTGAAAACAAGTAATATCGTAATTTACTAATAATCTCTTCTGAACTTTTTTTAAACACCAACTTTTTCCCCCAGAGAGATTACTTCCATTCTTTGGAAGACGCCTTTTAACATACAGGTCTATGGGAGGCTGCTCTTGTTTTGAAGTCATCACGAACACTGATAGCATAAAATTCTTTTATTAGCCAGTAACAATACCTCGGGGTCTGTTAATAGCTTTGAAAAAGTTTGCACTAAAACATCTGCTGCTGGATTTTTTATGGATATCGTTATCAAATCGTTATTAAATGACCGCTACCCCCTTCCAATGAACACCGCTTAACTCGATACTGGCACATCAAAACGCAACTATTATAGTACTCGTATTTATATATCCGCGAGAAAAAGTTCATACAATGGAAAAGTAAGAAAAAGAAAATGACATATGTATTTTATAATTTATTTCCAAAAGTGCCCGACCTTGCCGAAGCAGGCCTTTAATCCTTGAAATACTGTACCGGTACCTATTGTACTTTACTTGTTGAAAATAGCAGTTACATTCTGTCGGCTGTCCATTCGCAAAACTAGTTACTATTATCATAAAGGTATGCAAAAAATACGGCTGGGTAAGTACGGATCGTTATTTCTAATGAAGTAAGTGAAACAAATGAAATAAGTAAAGTAAGTCAAGTAAGTCAAGTAAGTAAAGTAAGTAAAGTAAGTAAAGCAAGTAAAACAAGTAAAACAAATAAAGCAAGTAAAGTAAGTGAAGAAAGTGAAAGTAAAGTGAAGAAAAAATGAAGAACAGTGAAGAAGGTGAAGTCTCGAACAGAACGATCAAAATGAAAGTAACTGCCTTTTTACCCCAGCCGCTCGCCATATGCAGTTGTGTATCACTGCCGAACCTCATCTACCTTTCTCTTTCTGTAGGGCTTCGGCTGAAAGATGGATGCGATTTCATTGATTATCCACCGTCCTGCCGACTACAGATGTTCATTTCTATTGTGCGCATTATAAGTATGTCTCGTCTGAATGATCATAACTTTTTTTAGTCATGCAAGTAACTAACCAGAATGTTTTACCGTAGTCTAGCCGACTCTATCTGAACAGACAAGATACAGAGTAGAGAGGTCCAGCCGCGCATATGTTAAAGCCTTCGCCGATCAAAATCAGCTAGACTACGGTTTTACCGATCCAAGCATACGACTGCTACCCACAGTGCATGACAATGCCGCACGCAAATAGTGAGTGAAACACTATGATATTTTCACTACATACACTGAAAGTCTGAAGCTGGTTAAACAGTTTTAAAATGTAAATGTCACTGATCAAAAGCCGTTATTTTCCGGAAGCAATAACAATTCAAGCAGATTTTTGGCGCACTATCCTTGTCGAATCTTTTGGCTCTAAAAATTTTCAACTGCAACAACTTGATTGTTGCAGTTGAAAAAGGTGCGAAGAACGACTTCGCGACTTTTAAACATATTAAATTCCTGGATTTCTTCCTGACATCCCTCGCATCCATCGAGCCGAATACGTTTACAACCATCCCTAATCTGAAATCGCTCTTACTGGAGGATCGACTTGCATGGTATCCGCCAAGTGTAAAAGATACACCCGAATCGAAGGCGGAGATAGCGGCAATCCGCAAAATCCATTGTGACTGCGACTACGCCTGGCTGCGCAGCTGGTTGGATACCAATCCGCATCGCATCTGCTTAACGATAGGGACGAAGGCGAACTGTGCATTATCGCCAACCACCTGAGTAAACGCGTGTTCAGGTCGACAGCATTTTACGCTGTTGACTGCGCCTCGCCGACATTGTTCACGCAAATGAAGACTACTACTATAACAACGCTCTCAAGTTTTCTGTTAACGCCGCATGCAAATAACCTGTTCTTGCGACGGCCTTTAGCGGTATTTTAGATGTGGTTCTTCCTTATGCTGGTTAGAAAAATCTACCGTAATACTCTGTGATTTTCCTATGCCATAATTTATTACCATTGAAGGAGTGGTTACATCAGTAGTATTAGCCAAACCTATACAGGAGATTTAGATTTACACAGCAAGAGAAACAAGGGTATTTGGCGCCAAAATTTTTGATAAGTGCAAAAATCACCACGGACTCCTGCAGTTTAACAGGTCACATATCAGCACCGTACACTGTTCACAGTCAACGTTTTGCAGACAGCATCGGTAATAAGTTGAAGTGCAAGTAAGAAGGCTCCGTCGATTCTGTTAAAGTCATGCATTCGATCTAACCTTTTGCTGATCCTGGTTCTGCATAAGCGGTTTATTCGTTTGGGCCGAAACGCGCGTGTAGCCGGCAGGAAGGTTGACGGGTTGATGGTTGACGTTCAATGAAGGTCATCAACCTTTCTGCCAGACCTCGTCAACCTTTCCCTAAAGGTCATCAACCTTTCTGCCAGACCTCGTCAACCTTTCTCTAAAGGTCATCATCCTTTTTGCCCGAGCACAGCAACCTTTCTCTAATGGTCATCAACCTTTCTGCCAGAGCTCATCATCGTTTCTCTAAAGGTTGTTAACCTTTCTGCTGAAGGGCATCAATCTTTCTCTAAAGGTCGTCAACCTTTCTGCTGAAGGCTTCGTCTTTTAACAGAAGTCGTGCACATGTTTTGCTAAAAACACAGCACGTTTTGGCTAAACGTTTATTGTTACTGCGTTATAAAAAAATTATTATTTCGGTATTTCATTTCGACAAACTGTTGTTTCGTTTGCTTAATATGCAAAATGGATATAAGGGTAAGGCTACCAAGTATCATCCTGGCGTCGTAGCTGATTACCGCACCAGTATCCGGCAGGAAAGTGGACGGGTTGATGGTTGACTTTTGTAACCGAGAGGAAGGTAGATTGAAGAATGGTGGGCAGACAATGAAATCGCATCCACCTTCCTGCTGAAGCCAGGCAGAATGTTGGACGACTCATCCACGAATCAGCCCAAGCGCGTTCACCTTTTCTGCCAAATCATTGTTGGTTTCAACTGATCCAACAACGATGCCATTGTTTGCATTCTGGCCCATTGTGAGATGAGTGCTTGCCGCCACTTCTTCGGCAGAAAAGTAGACGCAGACATGTCAATCTATCGCTCTGCCTGTACAGCTTATAATTATAATACCTAGGGTAGTCGCTTTCTCATATCCCGAATGAATTATTTATTTCGGATATTTAAACGGAACGTTTACTAGGTACTTGAGATGTACGAAGAGCAAATTATTTACTAGAAACAAATTATTTCGGCTTGCCATGCACCTACTCAGCTGACTAATTAGTTTTTAGTAAATATTTTGTTTTCTCGCACAACGCAATGGTTAACTTTCAATTTAAATTCCCGAAATGTGCACAATTCAATTTGGATATAGAAAAACGACTAATATGGTATAGAAACTGTACAAGTAGAACAATAGACATATCTACGTCCACCTCTCTGCTAGAGCAGTGACGGCATGCATTGATCTCACAATGGGCCTGAATGCACACAATGGCGTCATTGTTCGATCAGTTAAAGCCGGCAATAATACGGCAAACAGACAGACGCGCTCCGGCAGATTGGTGGATGCGATTTGATTGTAAGTCACCTATCATTAGTGCGGGTTAAGGACGTTCAATGAAGGTAATCTACTTTTCTGCAAAGGCAATCAACCATTCCGCCAAGGTCAGCAACCTTTCCGTAAAGGGCATCAACCTTTTTGAAAGGTCATCAACCTTTTTTTAAAGGTCATCCACTAATCTACTGGCGGCATCCATTGATGAGTATGAGGCCATTGTACTCCTTTTGTTGTTTCATTGTGAGTAACACCACTGAATATGACTGTCTCGTGTACTCTCGGCTGTATGAATGATAAATATTTGCTTACACATTAAGCCTGCTGCTTGTATGTTTGATTAAACAAGCGGAATGGTTTTTCTGATGCAAGAACCA